GAGAGGCAGATAGAGACTTTCCATCTGCTGGTTCATTCTCCAGATGCCACCAAAAGCCAGATCTTTGCCAGGCCAAAGCCAGAAGCCTGAAATTTCATCCGGGTCTCCCATGGGTGGCCGGGACCCAAGTCCTTGAGCCATCAGCTGCTGCCTCCCAGGGTGCTCTTTCGCAGGAAGCTGGATTGGAAGCAGAGTAGCCAGAACTTGAACCATGCGCTTAAGGCGTCCCAAGCAGCAGCTTAACCACTGAGCAAAACACCCCATTCTCTGCTCTTAAATCTTCCCTATATGGTTCACCTCTTTTTGGCCACCCTCCTAGCCTGCCCATAATTGGTTGTGCTCACCCAGAGAGCAGCCTGTCCCTGGAGGGGCGCCCAGGCTCCTCTGTGGGGGGCTGCAGCTGTGAGCCCGCAGCACACCAGGGAGCCCGCTGGGCAGCCAGAGCCTTCCCTGCGCTGGTGATGTTTCTGACAAAATTCCTGCATGACTCGCTCCTGCCAGATGCCTGGCTTCTTTCTTCCTAGAGTCGGCAAGAAAGTCTTCCTGATGCCCAAGGTGAGTGAGACCCCGAGTCAGGTCCTTTGTCCCCCTTCGTCTCCCTGAATACCTGAAGGGCCTCATTTACAAGAAAACCTACAGACTGGGAGGTTTGTGCCTAGTTGTTTGACTACTGAATGGGTCTCTAAGCTCAGAGTATGGCCTGGGTATGACACTCTGGTGATGAATGACAGTACTGAAAATCCCCACCCTGCTTTGTGAGTTGTTTCTGAAGCTCAGCAATTTTAGAATTTGTCACATTGATTTTCCATGTTGTCACACATGTAAGAGTCAGGTTCAGAAATGCAGTGAATTAAACCGCTTTTTGTTTGTTTTGTTTCGGTCAGTACCAGGGATCTTAATGCATATAACCACTTAATAACTGAGATGAGAACTCTGCCTCATTTATCTTTATAATCAGAGTCTGAAAGAGCAGGGAAGGGAAGGGGGGGGTGGTTCTGCCTGTGTCTTACCTGGAGGATCTGGGTGTTTTGATGTCAGAGATTTGTAAATACTGTTTAAGGAGTTCTAGAATGAGCCGTTTTCCCTTGCCTATTTTTTTTTTAAAGATTTATTTATTTATTTGAAAGGTAGAGAGAGAGAGAAAGAGAGAGAGAGAGGTCTTCCATCTGCTGGTTCACTCCCCAATTGCCCGCAATGGCCGGAGCTGTGCTGGTCTGAAGGCAGAAGCCAGGAGCTTCTTCCGGGTCTCCCACATGGGTGCAGGGGCCCAAGGACTTAGGCCATCTTCTACTGCTATCCCAGGCCGTATCAGAGAGCTGGATGGGAAGTGGAGCAGCTGGGACTCGAACCGGTGCCCATATGGGATGCCAGCACTGCTGGCGGCGGCTTAACCCGCTACCCCACAGCGCCAGCCCCAACCTCTGCATTCTTAACCTGAACAAGTATGGTGCCAAGGCGAGGTCGTGCCTGTAGAAGGCACAGCAGAAAAGGACTCCCAAGAAACTGCCTTGCTCTGAGTGCTCTGGACAGCAGAGCCTGCGAGGGGCAGGGGTAGCCATCCAGAGAATCATCTTCCCAGTTAAATCGGCAATGCGCACGTGGACATAAATTTCACACTCGGCTTCTACTGTGGTATTAAGGTTGATGGACTGTCATTCTTCTGAATAACTGTAACACATGTGAACAGAGTGAGGGGCATGCATCGGGTGCAGCAGCTAAGATGCTGTTTGGGACGCCCATTTCCCATCTTGGAGTGCTCAGGTGTGAGTCTCACTTCTCCGCATTCCAGCTTCCTGTGAATATGCACCTGGGAAGGGGTGAGCCCTCAGCTGGTGAGATCCCTACTCCCCAGGGAGGAGAGCTGGATTGAGTTCCTAACACCTAGCTTCAGTCTGGCCCAGCCCTGACTTCTGTGGGCATTTGGGGGGTAACCAGCAGATGGGAGACTGATCTCTATCCTTCTTTCTTTGCCTTCCAAAAAATAAATAAACCATTAAAACAGAAGAACAGGCTAGGAGGCGGATTCCTACTTTCTGGCATTCTGTTCCTCTCCCTGTCCTGTTCAGAGAAAGTCTTTACTGACAGACTCTAGAATGGCCGTTTACACTGGATATTATTACCAAGTACTGTTTGTTCGTGCTTGTCCGTGTACGAGGTGTCTGACCTTTGTTCTTCAGGTGCATGCTGCCAGACTGTTTGCAAAAGGAGCTACGTGTGAGGGTTTCTTAAAGGGCAGCAGGCCACAGGCTGATGGGGACAGGGAGAGGAGCATCAGGTGCCCAGCAGGTTAGACGCAGTCGAGAGCTCTCTTGGTTTCCAGTGCTGTGTCTCTGGGCTCCTGGCCTCTCAGAACCTGTGCCTTCTGTAGGAGTCACCTCAGTGCCACATCAGGAGAGACTCACAGGCCACAGGTGACCTTATGGGGACATAAGGACAGGGTCTTACCTCTTCCTGACCTGATCCTAATGAGAATTAGAATTTTCGTGCAAATATGAGGCTTTTTCTGTTTTTTGTCTATGTGTTCTAATGACATATATGACATATAATGTGCTCTTGGTGCCTTTTCCGATTGTCAGCTAAATGTAAAGAATTTCAGAAATACTAAATAATCTTGGGTAACTCATAATGCTGTGTGCTTGATTCTGTTTCTCCCCAGTCTAGAATTCTACTGTACACATCACTTTTATTTTTAAAAATATGGGATCATTTCACATCTTCTGAGACTGGGGAGAAGGGGGCGGGGTCGTAAAATGAGCCTGGAACACTCTGGTGTTGTGGAGACAGCTGTCGTGGGGGCAAGGCTTGTGCAGTGCCGTGCAGTGCAGCCTGCATCAGCTGACCTGCTGGAGCAGCCACTTTGCTTGTTGCTGCTGTCAGACTCGTGGAGTCACAATGCCTTCGAATTGGCGTGGACATCAGCGATCAGGCCTGTGGAGTGATGTATTTAAACACCACACACACCAGGGGAACGGGGGAGCGGTTGCCCCTGTGCCAGTGCCACGGGGCAGGCAGACATCCTGCCGCCAAGTAGAGGGTGACAGCTGTTGGCCATCCAGGGAGAAAAGGCAGTTCCCAGCCTGAGACGTCCACAGAGGCTGCCAGCCCATGGCATGGGGCTCCCAAAGACTGCTTTTCTTTTACTATTATTATTATTATTATTATTATTATTATTATTTTGGACAGGCAGAGTAGACAGAGAGAGAGACAGAGAGAAAGGTCTTCCTTTTCCATTGGTTCACCCTCCAATGGCTGCTGTGGCCGGCGCACCGCGCTGATCTGAAGCCAGGAGCCAGGTGCTTCTCCTGGTCTCCCATGCGGGGGTGCAGGGCCCAAGTACTTGGGCCATCCTCCTTCCGGGCCACAGCAGAGAGCTGGACTGGAAAAGGAACAACCAGGACAGAATCTGGTGCCCCGACCGGGACTAGAACTCGGTGTGCTGGTGCTGCAGGTGGAAGATTAGCCTAGTGAGCCGCGGTGCTGGCCCTGACTGCTTTTCTTACCATCGGTGGGTTGCTGTCAGTGTCTTTCCTTTCTTTCACAAAAGAAAGGATTTTGTTTTTAAAAATTTTTTTGAAAATATTTATGGACTTACTGAAAGGCAAAGTGATAGAGACAGAAAGAGATCTCTTCTGTCCACTGGTTCACTCCCCAAATACCGTAACGACTGGGATTGGGCCAGGCCAGAGCAGGAGCCAGGAACTCCATCCAGGTCACCCACGTCACTGGCAGGAGCTCAAGTACTTGGGCTGGCGTCTGCTGCCTGCCAGGTGCATTAGCAAGAAGCTGAATCAAAAATACAGAGTAGCCAGCATTCAAAACAGGTACTGTGGGCGCCCGAGTAGCGCTTAACCGACTGCACCACCCCTTAATTTTATTTTTAATACGTTTAGCACATAAACAGCTGTAACTCTAAGAGGAAGACATTGTCAAATCAACCTTGGTAAGTGTCTCATCCAAAAAGTCATAAGCTTTCTTTCTTTCCATTCCATGTTGACCTGTGCCAGCCCTCTAACTTCTGTTTTTCACCTTGTTACACCACCTTCCAGACCTGTGTCCCAGAGTGTGTTTTTAAGGCAATCTCAGCTGACACCCTAGGAAGAAATGTATAGCAAGTCAATGAGGGCTTCTCACTTTTCGTTAACTGCTGACATTGTTCTTGATGATCCTGTTTCTGGGTGGAGGACTTAGAAATCTCCCATTCACTTAGGGCCAGTGATGATGGTATGCTTTCATTTAAAAGTATTAAACCTGAATATGGCACAGCAGTTATAACACCGCTTGAGATGTCCATGTCCCGTAGCGGAGGGCTTGGCTCCCCTCCTGATGCCAACTTCTTGCTAATGCAGTACCTTTCGAGACAACAGGCACTGGCCTGAGTACTTGTGTCCCTGCCACCCACCTGGGAAACCTGGATTGAGTTTTAGGTTCCTGGCTATGGTTTGGTGCAGTCCCAACTGTTGCAGGCATTTATGGGGTGAACCAATGAATGGAAGATCTCTGTCAAATAAAATGAAAACTTACATATATAAAACTTTTTCTGTATTTAGTTCACACTCCTTTATACCTTGTATTTTTAATTCTTGATTAGCTATATTTTATCTCCATAAAATAATAAAATTTTCATCAATGTATGTGTCTATCCAGAGATCATGCTCTATATAGATACTAGCAGATATACAGTGAGGCAGCTATTTTATCATTTTTAAAATTAAGTTTAATAAAAATAACCTTTTTATCATTTCACTCTTTAATACAGTTTTCTAATGTTTAACACACCTCAAGTAACTGCTGAAGGCCAAAAATCCACTTTTATCCTTGTATGTTTTCACTACCTTGTGTGCAGAAATTATATATACTGAATAAATGATAAGATAAAGAACATAAACAGGTGTTAACTGAATTTATCCATTAATATTTGAAAGCCTGACTAGGGAGTTTTATCGTATTAGACTCATTACGTTGTGAGAATTCATGGACTTTTGCATTTGACTTTGGTACAGGCAGAAATCCTCAGTGTCCTCAGCCACAGAAACATCATCCAGTTTTACGGAGTAATTCTCGAGCCTCCCAACTATGGCATCGTCACAGGTAGGAGCTCTGTGTCTGACTTCTTTCTTTCCCCAACCGCCCAGCTCTAGATTCCTTAATATGCTGAAATGCTTCATATTAGGTTCAGTCGTGAATCGTGTGCTACTGTCAGATGTCACTTCTGTTGCTATAAAGCATTAATAAAACTGATTATATCAATATAATTAAGAATGGTGTTTCCCCTTCTACCCATGTTTAATTGTGCTAATTATATCCGCGTAAATGCTGTTTAAATGCACTCACAGCTGCAATACCAATATTTAAAGGTGCTGCTCAACTAAAATTTTATTTAATTAGTTGAAACAAGGGATGTTTTTTGTAACTCTGACCTTTTATAAATTAAGATTTCTTGAGCTATTCATGTTGTAATTCTTTGCAAGGCATTTTAATCCCATTGGAGTATTTTTTCTTCAAGGTCTTCAACATGAGAACAGTATTTTTCAGGTTTGGTCGTCTGAGTTGGTAATGACCTTGATCTAAATCACCAGGTAGTTTGGAGCAGCAGTTTATAACTGGTGAAAATGCCCTTTCCAAAAAGGAGCGTATAGAACATGTTTGCCACGCGAGCATAGAAAGACACTTGCATTGTAAATACTTCATGCTCATATTTGTCCCATCTACTGAGCAGCTTTTGGCCTGCAATAACCACAGTGTTCAGTTAATTTGATAACAAATAACTGTGATCCGGTTCTTTGATTAAAACAAAAACAAATAAGAAAACCGCAGAAGATTAGCCCCATTATTAGCATTAGGACCAAGCCATGCCCTGTGGGTGAGAGGCAGTACATATGCCAACGGAGCCAAGTTTGGGAGTGAGAAGATCAAGTGGATTAGGGATGGTGGCATTTACCCCATCTCTCCTACAAACAAGTCTTAGCATGAGGAGGTTAGAAAAACAAAGCTGGTAGGCATGACTGTGTGACCGTGACCCCCAGCCTTGCCGGGGCCCTTCTGCGAATCTTGTCTGTCTTGGGTGTCAGGGGCTCTGATGGTGGAAGCTTGAATGGCTTGAGTCCATTCAACTTGAGATTGTTAATTAAAAATGTTGTGGCAGCGGCAGCTGTTGTCACTCATGCAGAGGGCTTAAAAGGATGATTTATCAGAGTGATGGAATGGAATGAGCACTGGAGTGGGAATTGGGAGACGTGGAATCCTGTCTTGACTCTGCCAAAGCCTCCTAGCTGGGTCACTGATAATCTGTCTCAGTTTTCTCTTGTGAATGAAGAGACTAGAATGGAAGATCTCTGGGTGAGGGTATGTGTGTGCATGTGTGTACCTGTGTGTGTGCGTTGGGGAAACACTGTGCTTACATGGGTGCCTGGGAAAGAACCCCAGAGGCAGTTGCCAATTTATTTCTCTTGGAGGAAAAATGAACATCTTTCCCTCAAATCAACAAAGAGTTGCAGTGACTAGAACTTGAGACTCCAGTGTCAAAAGAAAAGATACAATAATTGGTCATTTTTTCCCTTGATATTTGGAAACCTCTAAATTCTATACTGTTCCCAGTCACACAGGTATGTATGCAGACACACGGGAACATGATCCTTGATGGTGAGGAACTCGTTGGAGAGGAAGGAAGGAGTTATTAGGATCTGGAGTATGCAGCTCCTTTGCAGCAAGGTCGATTGCAGACCCCCACCCCCACCCCCACCGCCTCCAAAGTACCTGGTAGTCTAAGAGTAGGTGGCGGGCAGAGGCCCGGGGTCCAGGATTCCCGAGGGAAGTGACTCAGGGTCCCAGAGGCCTAGGGAATTGCATAGGGACTGCGTCGACTCTGACATTTCTCACATGCTCTGTTTTGCCTTGTGTCACTGTGCCATGAGAAGATATTGATTCTGCACAATTTGTCCCAGGTGAGTGCAGGTTCAAGCCCCAGCTGCTCCACTTCAGATCTAGCTCCCTGCTAAAATAGTTTTGTTTGTTTAGCTACCCATATATTTGAATATCACCTTTTATATGAAATAAATGTAATGATATTGCCTTTCTTATACCCTCACATTCATGAAATAATTCAGTTAATGGTGTCATCTTCATCTTTATTAGAATGACTTTTTTAATTTCTCCTAATGGTTTTCAGAGTATGTCATCTTCATTGTAGTCTAAGATGTTTGAAATATCATAGTTTTTGGATCTTTGTATGCCAGTGTCTCTGGATATTTATCCCAAGCCATAAGTACTCAATGCTATAACATTAGGATTATTGGGTATACCCATAAGATAGGTTTGCAACCCATACCGATTGCTTTTTACAGTGATACTTAGAAAACTTGTTGTCAGCCATATTCTGAAGTTGCAATTGACAGCTAATATTTCCAGGAACGATTACACTGTGTTAAACTTTGTTGCCTTTTCGTTTTCCTTTTCTTTTAGTAGAAGGGATGTTCCTAGTGGCCGGCAACAAGTGACCAGTGGCTGTCCTGGACTGAACTAATATCTTGGTAGGGGTAAATGTCCTGGGCACTGAGGTCATTCAGATGCCAGAGAATGAAGCCACTCAGCTGTCCACATGTGCCTTTTAGGTCCTGTACTCCACGCCTCCGTGAAAGAGACAGAAAAGGCCTGCGAAAAGCAGAAGCCAGGACAGACTGGAAAACAGTCTAAATTTCGATCACGCGTGTGCAGATCTGTCAGCCAAGGGTGTTTTATCCCATCTGTGCAATCGCTGGCTGATCACGAACTATTCAGATGTAGAGCAGTCCCTAAAAAGACAGGCTTGGAAACAAAAACAAGGGCACTGGTTTGAGTTCCAGTTGCTCCACTTCCAATCCAGCTCTCTGCTATGGCCTGGGAGAGGGGTAGAAGGTGGCCCAAGTGCTTAGGCCACTGCACCTGTGTGGGAGACCCAGAAGAAGCTCCTGGCTTCAGATTGGTGCAGCTCCAGATGTGTGGCCATTTGGGGAGTGAACCAAAGGATGGAGGACCTCTCTGTCTCTCCCTTTCTCTGTCTGTAACTCTGCCTCTCAAGTAAATAAATAAATATTAAAAAAAGAAAGAAGAAGAAATTCCATGGAGGAAAAATAAAATTCAGAGTTACATTTATCTAAACTGAAAAAAACAAAACAAAACAAAACAAAACAAAACAAACCCAAACCTGGAAAGAAGCAGGAATGTGTAGCTCAGGGAAAAAAGCCATCAGTGGAAATAGTCTCTTAGTTAACCTGACATATTAACAGAGCTTTCAAAGCATCAGAGTATCCAGAGAACTAAAGGAAAAACTCTGTTAAAAGAATTAAAGAAAAGTATGAAAACAATAACTCAACCAACAGAGAAGCCCAAGTGGCTAGGCATTAAGTAAAAAGGAAAGGACCAATAGGAATTCTGAAGATGAAAAAGATCATCAAAGTAAATTCTCTAGTGTGACTTAACAGCAGGTTTGAGACAACAGAAGAAAACTGATAAACTGAAAGCTAGACTGAACAAGAGATTATCTAACTTAAAAAATAGGAAACATTTGAAGAAAAATGAATAGAACCTCAAAGCCCTGTGGGACAGCAGCAAGTATATTAATAAATTCACAACAGGAAAGGAGGAGGATAAGGAAATTGGTTTTTTAACATTGTCCACAAATAAAATATGTTAATCTACATGTTTGAGAAGTTCAGCAAACCCCAGGTGCAGGACGAGTGCAGAAGAACCACAGCTGAACCACAGTCAAATTGCGGGTAAAGACAAAGAATCTGGAAAGCAGCGAGCACAAAACAACCTCTCGTGTACATGGGAGCCAGGGTGTCAGCAGGGGCTCACTGCTCAGCTCTGACACTGAAGGCCACAGGCAGCAGAATGACACTTGAAAAACTGGAAGAAAAAAGCTGTATTCAGCAAAATTACCAGCGCTTTAACCCGCTGCGCCACAGCACCGGCCCTGAAACTTTCTTTCTTTAAATTTTTTTTTGTTTCTATAAAGAGAACACGTTTCATGTATCATATGTATACAGTTTTAAGAGCATAATGATACTTGTCTTTTATCTTATTATGTATAGCATTATGTATGTAGACAGTCCCGAAGAATCACAAAAAACGAAACAAAACTAAAACTAGTACATGTTTATCTAGGTCACAAGGACACAAAATCAACATTCAAAAGTCAGTTGTATTTCTATGCACTGGGAATGAGCAATCTAAAAATGAAATTAAGAAACAAAAAGTATCAAAAAGAACAAATAGTTGGGTAGAAATTTAATAAAGTAAGTGCTTGTATCATGCAATGAAAAGTACAAAACAGTGCTGAGAGAGACCGAAGGATTAAATAAATCAACGTTACACTGTCCATGGTTTGGAAGATGCAGTATTGCCAGGGTGACAGCTCACTCCAAAGTGACCTATAAGTTCAACACAATTCCTGTCTCTATCCAAGAGCTCTCCCTCTTTTAGAAATTGACGTGCCAGTCATAAAATTTACATGGAAATTCGAGGACTTAAACTTTCTCATTTCTAAACTTAGAATCAACATAGTGAAATATTAGCTCAGTATCTGTAGTCACATAGATCAGTGGAAGTCTTGAAAGAAACTATCACATTGATTGTCACTTGATTTTTAACCAAGGTACCAATTCAATTGAGTGTAAAGAGTCTTTTCACCAGATTATGCTGAGATAATTATAATTCCACATAAAAAACACCTCTGAGACCCTCACCTCATATCATAGTTAAAAATTAACTCAAAATGGACTATAGACTGAAACATAAAGACTAAAAGAAAAACAGGATGAAATCATGCCTTTTAGTTAGGCGGAGAGTTCTTAGATATGACACCAAAAGTACAAGCCATTAAAAAAATTGATAAATTGGAATTCATAAAAATTAATGATTTCTGCTCTTTAAAAGACACTCTTGAGATAATGAAAAGAGGAGAGCCAGACTGGGAGAAATTATTTGCAAATCATATATCTAATAAAGGACATATCAAAATAAAGAATTCTTAGCACTCAATGAGATAACCCATTTGAAAGTGAACCACAAATTAGAATAGGTACTTTGCTTAAGAATATATAGAAACAAGGGTGTAATAGGCCATGCAGATGCTCAGCTTCATCATGTGCTTGGGGAAGGCAAATTACAATTGCCGTGACATACTACTGACATTATAATAAGTAAAACAATCATAATAAAAAGTCTGGCAGCACCACGTGTTGACGAGGATGCAGAGCACTGGCGGTGAGAATAAACATTGGTAAAATCCCTTTGGAAAACCGTTTGATAGTTTCTTTAAAAGTTAAGTGTTGGGGCTGGTGCCTGTGGTACCAAGCATCCCATGTGGACGCTGGTTCTAGTCCCACTGCCCCTCTTCCAATCCGGGTCTCTGCTATGGCCTGGGAAAGCAGTAGAAGATGGCCCAAGTCCTTGGGCCCCTGCACCTGCATGGGAGACCCAGAAAAAGCTCCTGGCTCCTGGCTTCAGATCCGCGCAGCTCTGGCTGTTGCAGCCATTTGGGGAGTGAACCAACGGAAGGAAGACCTTTCATTCTGTCTCTCTCCCTCACTGTCTGTAACTCTACCTCTTAAATAAATAAATAAAATCTTAAAAAAAAGTTAAGTGTAGGTATGAGCAGGCACTTGATGCAGCAAGTAAGATGTCATTTGAGACACCCTCATCCATACCACTGTGTGTAAGCTCAAGTCCTGGATCCATTTCCGATTCTAGCTTCCTGCTGTGTTCACCCTGGAAGGCAACAGATGATGGCTGAAGTATTTGTGTCCCTGCCATACATGTGGAAGATGTAGATTGAGTTCTAGACTTTGGCTTTAGCCTGGTCCAGCCCTAGGTGTTGCAGGCATTTGGGAAGTGAACCAGTAGATGGAAGATCTCTGTATCTCTCTCCCTCCCTCCCTCTCATTCTCTCTCTAAAATGCAAATATTTTTTTAAATAAAAATTAAACATACACTTAACAAATGACTCTACCATTCCACTCCCACAATCTACCCAAGGGAAATGAATATAATCACACACAGCCACATACACAAATGTTGATAGCCACATTATTTATAATATACAAATATCTGCCAGCTGGTGAATGAATAAGCCAAATATAGAATTAGCCATACACTGGAATAGTGCTCAGCAACAGAAAGCATGAAGCACAGTCAGCCACTCATATCCACAGGTTGCAGATCCATGGATTCAGCCGAACATGGTTCAGAAGTTTTAAAAAGATGCGTCTCTGGGGGCACTGCTGTGGCGCAGTAGGTTAATCCTCTGCCCACAGGGCCACCATCTCATATGGATGCCAGTTCTAGTCCTGGCTGCTCCTCTTCCAATCCAGCTCTCTGCTATGCCCTGGGGAAGCAATAGAAGTTGGCCCAAGCACTTGGGCCCCTGCACCTACGTGGGAGACCCAGAGGAAGCTCCTGGCTCCTGGCTTTGGATCAGCTCAGCTCCAGCCATAGTGACCATTTGGGGAGTAAAATAGTGTGTGGAAGACCTTTCTCTGTCTCTTCCTCTCACTGTTTATAACTCCACCTCTCAAATTATAAAATCTTTTTTTAAAAAAATACATCTCTACTGAGTATGTGCAGACTTTTTTCCTTGTCATTATTTCCTAAACAGTGTAGCATACCAAGTAATTACATAGTGTTTACATTGTATTAGATAATATAAGTACTCTGGGGATGGTTTAAAATACACAGGAGGGTGTGAGTAGGTTATATGCAAATACTGTGCCATTTAGTAGAAGGGACTTGAACATATACAGATTCTGAAATCTGGGGGGGGTGGGGGCCCTGGATCCGTTACCTGGTGAATACCGGAGGATGATGGCACGGCTCCCTGCTACAGCACAGAGGAACCTTGGAAACATTATGCCGGGGAATGCAGTCAGGCACAAGGAGCACACTTTGTATTACTTTGTTCATATGAAATATCCAAAAAAGGCACCAAAGCGGGTTGGTGTTAGGACTCCGGTGAGAGTGGTGACTGACTGGAAACTGGCATCAGGGGCTGTCTAGAGTGAAGGAAAGGTTCTAAAACTACATTGTGGTGTGGTTGCCTACTTGTATGAAATTACTAAAACTCTTTAAATTTTGTATTTGTAGTTAATAAATTTTATGAGGCCATGTTGATTCTACAGCCAACCCTCTCATAAGTACTATCTTCCAGCCGGCGCCGTGGCTCAATAGGCTAATCCTCCGCCTTGCGGTGCCTGCACACCGGGTTCTAGTCCTGGTTGGGACACCGGATTCTGTCCCAGTTGCCCCTCTTCCAGGCCAGCTCTCTGCTGTGGCCAGGGAGTGCAGTGGAGGATGGCCCAAGTGCTTGGGTCCTGCACCCCATGGGAGACCAGGAGAAGCACCTGGCTCCTGGCTCCTGCCTTCGGATAGGTGCGGTGTGCCGGCTGCGGCGGCCACTGGAGGGTGAACCAACGGCAAAAGGAAGACCTTTCTCTCTCTCTCTCTCTCTCTCTCTCTCTCACTGTCCACTCTGTCTGTTAAAAAAAAGAAAAAAATAAGTACTATCTTCCAAGGCCCTCTTCCTAAAACTCAAAGTTGGATTGTTTGGATGCTCTTGGTACCATTGACTTAACAACCTTGTGGTTTACATGGCTGTATAAGTTCTAGAGCCAAATCCTTTTCAAACCGTAGCATGACTTTTTGAAGATGCTCCTGTTGACACACTTAGCATGACTTTGTTTTGGAGACATTCTCCCAGCACCTCTGCTTCTCAGTTCCAGCTAAATGGCTTCTGGGGTGGGGCTGAAGTTTGCTGGTCAGTCTCCGTTAATGGTCTTTGACAGACAGGTAGTAACATGTTAGTAACATATTAGTAACATGATAGTAACTCTTAGAAACCACAGCATGCAACAACTTTTTATATGCTTTTCTGGTTTTGGTTGAATTTTTTAATGTAGTTTCCCAATGAAAGTATAAAGTCTTATTTCTGAAGTGTACCTTGAGTTTAATTGTATGCTTGTGTTTCCTTTGGAAATAGAATATGCTTCTCTGGGGTCTCTCTATGATTACATCAACAGCAACAAAAGTGAAGAGATGGACATGGATCACATCATGACCTGGGCCACTGATGTAGCCAAAGGTAAGAGTGCGTGCTGTGTTCCTACAGAATGGGTGGGGACTTAGGTCAGAAAATTCTTCCATGCTGACTTAGGGACTTAGGTCAGGAAGATTTATATTCTGTGTCTTTATATGCCTTTCATTTTTCAGACCAAAAGTAGTAAGAATTCTGCAACTCGCTGTCCAAATAGTATTTTAAGTCATTGCCTTTCCACTCCTAGATTCCTTTCCCATCTTCCCTTTTCTTTGTGTTATTTCTGTCCCTAAAATCCAGACTTACAAAAATTAGTAAACTCCAGGATAAATTTTTTGCCATATTTTGTGACAATATAATTGGTCACCTAGCCTGATATGTTAAATGGAAAATTGGTAAGTCTGGTCGTTCTGTAAGCCTGCAGAAAACATGATTTATTATAAGATTATTTCAACCCATTTTGTGTACATCATAATAAGCTAAAAATAACAACCACTTTCAAAGCCCATTTTCTTTGTCCTGCAATGTTAAAGCAGTTCTGATTTTGCTTTGTATTTAAGTAAACCTGGACATCACCCTTGGAAATTAAATTTTTTTTTTTTTGACAGGCAGAGTGGACAGTGAGAGAGAGAGAGAGACAGAGAGAAAGGTCTTCCTTTGCCATTGGTTCACCCTCCAATGGCCGCCGCGGCCAGTGTGCTGCGGCCGGCGCATTGCGCTGATCTGAAGCCAGGAGCCAGGTGCTTCTCCTGGTCTCCTATGCAGGTGCAGGGCCCAAGGACTTGGGCCATCCTCTACTGCACTCCTGGGCCATAGCAGAGAGCTGGCCTGGAAGAGGGGCAGCCGGGACAGAATCTGGTGCCCTGACCGGGACTAGAACCCGGTGTGCTGGCGCCGCAAGGCGGAGGATTAGCCTATTGAGCCGGGGCGCCAGCCGTAAATTAAATATTTTTAATGCACAAAATCCCTAAGCAACGTGCCCAGTTCTTTTTCCCTCTTAAATGCCTACATAAACTAATGTTTTCTAAAGCAATTCAAATTCCATTTATTTTTTTTTTCCATTTTTTTCCATTTCCCCAACTGAATATTTCTGAGTTTTATTTATAGCTGTCAGAGTTGCTTTGGAAACAACTTTATCTAAATAATGAACACTGATGGTTACATTTGTATTCTAGCAACCCCTAGAAAGCCAGTGGGTCCAGATTTTACTGGGACAATGAACTCTTTTGCATTTGACTACTCCCTTCTCTATGAAGTTCTCTCTGTAAAGTAAATACAGTGTTACCCAGCACTCAGTTAAGGAGAGAAGCCGAGACTTTGCTTTCACTCTAAAGCTACACAGCAACTTTCAAAACTAATCATCTTTCCTTTGGGGAATTATTTTATCTCTTTTAACACTTGCCAAATTCTTCAGATAGGAGCAGTAAAAAAAAAAAAAAAAAAAGGAGGAAAAAAAGGTTTTAAAGTATCATGGTAGATGCTGCTTCTGAACAATAATTCATAGCCTTATAAAAATAATGTGCTATATGATGTACTTAAAGCTTCGGCTGTGTTATCTAACTTAACTATGTGTCCCTGCATCAGGCACTGTGCATAAGCCTTAAACTGTCACGTTCTTCAAGGTGTTTCCTGTGACAGCTTGGTGGTCACTTCTGTGCATGTCACTAGAACACATAGAGGCCCCCTGTTCATAAGCAAGGTGGTGTGCTGTTCCCAGTGGGAATGCAGGACGCAACCGTTGGGGCACACACAAGCAGACCCTGGCTCGTGGCCCTTCACCTTACAGACATTTGCATTTAGGGTGCTCAGCCAGTGACACCCATGCCAGTGCTTAATGGCGCTCAGGATGGATAGAGAGCAACCAACCAACTGACTTCAGTCCCTGCTCCCCAGCCCGCGTGTCCTCTGTGAGCAGTGAGTGTCTCGGCTCCGGAGCAGCGCATCTCTGGGTTCCTCAAGAGCGCTGGCACTCTGCCACAGAAGGGAAGGGAGAGAGGGAAAGGAATTCTGTTGCTGTCCTGAACATGGGGTGGGCCCTGTGGCAGTGTCCAAAACTACAAAGTGATAAAATCCCTTTTGCCTGGCGGGTAAATTGATCAGCAGGGCAAGTGCTGACAAGCTAGGCCCCAAGTGAGGAGAGTGGGGCAGGGGATGAGACTTGGAGTTTGTCACAAGCAATTGCTTAGCGCTGAAAAGTGCTTTAAGGTGGCCTGGAAAAAGGAAAGGCCATGCTTTAGGAATGACATCAGCCCTCTCTGAGAAAGCTGCATGTAGAACTTAGAGACTAGGTAGGCAGGCTTGATTTCTGTTGATTCTGTTTCATATTCAGCTCTGTATCTTTCAGTTGGGTCATGAGTGAAGCCACTGAAGCAATATGTTGAGAAATCGAAGAATGAATACCTCATGTCAAAATAAGAATTGATTCATGCAGTTTTGAAATAGGCATTGCTCAACCTCATTCTTGTTGAGAGAGTATCTTCTCACACACACCAAAAAAAAAAAAAAAAGATTCTCTTCCTTCTGGATGGAAAGAGGAATGAGAATGTATCTGCAGTTGTGCAAGTCGGTCAGTAATGTGTCAAAGGGGTGGCTGAAGCAGACAAACCTGGACCCAGTCTCAAAATTGTCATCATTGGTTCAAAAGTCTTCTCAGTGACACCTGTCAGATCTTAACTTAGAAAACTTTGAATGTTAAACCTGATGAAAATACTTCTCTGCCTTCTTAATTGCTGGCGATAAAAATAAGGCAGAATTATACAAGACTTACAAAGTTTTATGTAGTTGTGATTGTTACTGTTTATGTACACTATTGCTTAAGTGTTTACTATATGATCTGCCACTCAGAAGAAAGGTACCTATGTTTAAAGCTTATGTCCTTGGGTCTTGTTTTGTGAAATCTTTGTTAGGAAGTATAGAAACTGTCCAGTTCTACATCCAGTAGGAATCGTACAGAGTCTCCCTGAAAAGTTCTCCAGGAATTTGATTCCAGTGCAAGTGAAGAGAAACTATGAGGTTCAGTCCTGGAGACTATTAAATGCTATGCACTCTGTAGATATTGAATTTTTAGTTTGAAATATGTAAAACTTCATATTAGAAAGGAAATCCCAATTACATCTTGTTTAAGATCGCTTAAATTACTAACACTTTTGTTCATTTGACTCTTCAAGTCATAGCGTTTTATGCAAGAACTTAAACTTTTTCTTATTTTCTTTGTTCTTTTGTGATTCTTCAATATGTAGTAATCAGAATAGTGGAAGAATAATAGATTATCAAATTAACCTTTATAAAATTGAAATGTTCTATATACTTTTAAAAAGCTGAAGCCTAATTATTAAATTATTTTCAAGTAACAGTTCACTAATAAAAAGGAGCCTGTTTGATTTGAGGAGGGAGGCTATTTTGAGAAATAAAGGGAGAGGAAAGATTTCAATAGAAAATGTTCTTTTTCTTTATTCTAAGGGAGTAGATCAGAAAGAGTCAAATACTACTAAGTTACCATGAAATGTATCTTTCAAAGTTTCCATTTCTATTCAAAATAATAAAATTCTCCTTACTTTCTGTCTACCCAGTTTACTGAAGTAACAATGTCTATTATAAAGATACCGGACAGAATTTTCAAGTGTGTATAAATATGGATGATCTCAAAGATTTATCTTTGTGAAAAGAATAAATGTGTTGTAGCTACTGCAGGTTTTCCTATCTGAAGATCTGTTACCAAGCAGTGTGCCCCACCCTCACTCCCAGCTCTCCCCGAGAGAGGCCCTGAGCGAATGGGGCCAGCTGCAGACTGCACAGCCTGTTCAGGGCAGGGTGGCCTGGCAGGTGGTTTGGTGGTGGAATACCTTAGTCACAGACTCTCCAGTGCTGACTGTGCTATTTTCTGTCCTTCAGACCCTGGAAAATTACGGTGTCCTTACTACATCTTGCAAAAGCTGACGTTATTACAAGTTCCAACCTCCAAGGGATTAAGCCACACAAATTTTGCTTAACATACGAATGTTACTAATGTAGCCATCTTGTTTGATCCATCGTGGAAGGATAGAATGTGTGGATATAGTTTCTGCTATTGAATTATTTGCAAAGAAATACGAAGACCAACACTGATGTAATGTTGAAAATATTAATAGGCCTTTTCTCCTTCTTGTCTGAAAGGAATGCACTATTTACACATGGAGGCACCGGTCAAGGTGATTCACAGAGACCTCAAGTCAAGAAACGGTAATGTGGTCATGTGTTTTCACTTTGCCTGTATACACGGTTCTGCACCTGGGAACAGAAGTGGGCACCGCGCTTCTCCTGCCTTCTGTGACGGACGGACTCAGTGCTGATACCGTGACAGTCTCCCCACCACCAGTAAATACCAACATGCTCCGTCTCCTGTGAAGAAGCCACGCAGTATCCACCTGTGGGAACACAGCACAGACATTGAGATGCTTGGCATTTTTTTCCCAATATAAGAAATGGTGGGCCTGATTCCTTTCACCCAAACTCCTCAGCCCATCCCTAGTTTGTACCCTAGGATTATTTTCTAAGAGAGACATCTGCTGGGTTAAAGTGTGGCGTCGTGTACTCTTTGTCTTCTATTTTTAGCTGGTTCTGTGTCCTGGTGATTTTGAGTTTTGTTCGTGTTCCTTCTGAATGCGATCACGTCAACTTTTTATGTGGGTCATGCCCATCTTACCTGGAGTAGCGCCTGAAAGGGATCAGCGTGTTTGGGGGTTTGGAAGCGCTTTAAAGACTTGCTTTTTCTTGCTTCTCTTCCTCTGTGCTTTCTGAAGTTTATGATGTGGCCCCTGTTTTATGATTTGGAGAGTGTGCATTTTAAAGTAGCTTGCAAGATTAGGCCTTACCTTCAAGTAGGAATGGTAACAGACAGCTTCTTCCATTACATCATTCTGAAGTGATCAGAGGAAGGCCCTAGAAGTGTTGAGCTTCAGCAGAACCAGCTAAAGTAAACATCATGGTTTGCTGCTTTCTTTAAAAAAAAAAAAATCTCAGAGAGAAAGAAGGGGACTATTTATTTTTTGAAAATCTTTAGATTATGGCAGTAAAATGATTATAGACTCAGACGCACAGTGTGGTGCCTAGGATGAGTAGCGATGGCAAGCGGAGGCAGGGGCTCAGGGACCAGCCCCTGCTTAGTTTGTGTGTGCTTTTGGCAAGAGATGGGGTGGGGTGAGGGATGCGTGGCAGCCGCCAGCCATCGGCAGGCAGAGTTCGAGTGCCCGCCCAACCCGCTACTGGACTGCAGCTGCAGTTCCTGTCCTCTCGGGCATTGTCACATGTCCTTTGGCTGTATTAGACACAAGCTTCGTGGAACTGAACACTTGTGATTTATAGCTGACGCGCAGAACATCATTGGGAGGTCATCTAAAATCTAGTAGAGAATAACCGAGTTTCACAACTCTGTAAATTTTTTGTTCATGCTCAGAATTTCACTTTAAGCAACTTATTTGACATCAGTATAGCCTAAATCTTCCATGAGTGAAGTATAATTACCTTAATTCTGGATTTTTCCACGCAATCCTTATGAAGAATTTGTAACAATGGAAAAGTCTTGTTTTTCAAAATTGTAATTTGTGTATTTACTTGATGGGAATGTACAGTAACCTTGAAAGGATATAGACCCGGGCCGGCACCTTGGCTTACTTGGTTAATCCTTTGCCTGTGGCGCTGGCATCCCATATGGGTGCTGGGTTCTAGTTCCGGTTGCTCCTTTTCCAGGCCAGCTCTCTACTGTGGCCTGAGAGGGCAGTGGAGGATGGCCCAGGTCCTTGGGCCCTGCACCCGCATGGGAGACCAGGAGAAGCACCTGGCTCCTGGCTTCAGATTGGCGTAGCTCCGGCTGTAGCGGCCATTTTGGGGGTGAACCAATGGAAGGAAGACCTTTCTCTCTGTCTCTCTAACTGTCTGTCAAATTAAAAAAAAAAAAAAACAGACAAGTTAGAGATGAGAAGGGTAATTTGGGGGGCTTATTTTCAAAAAAAAAGTTGAAAAAAATTAATTAAAAAAATAAAATAAAAACAAAAAAAGAAAGAATATAGACCTAACTTCTAGCAACTTTTTTTAACCTCAAAGAAGGAATAAGACTTTCATTTTCTGTTACATGTTCTCATAATGTTAGGTTTTTTTAAAATGTGTTATATGAGAAAAAGGCAGTAGAGATTTTCAAAAATAACTGAATATGATAAAATATTTACATCATTATTCGTGAAAGTATACAAGAGGCTTATTCATGGTATCATATTTCCGCTGAGGCTATTTCTATATATTAGGTCATGCAAAGATTATTTTCCCCACATATCCAAATCATTAGTAGCAGCGGTGAGGCCCTGATCATGTATGTGCCATGTTCAAGGCACTGTGGAGCCTTGGCAGGGAAACACCACAGGTGGTTCTGCAGGGATCTGCCCTTGATCACCTCTCCTGAGCGCTTTTCTCCCATTCCTTAAAAGCCCCATATTAACAGATGCAAACAGATCCCAGCTTCAAAAGTATATATCTGTCTGCTGATTAGATTCACATAGGTATTTTGTATGACCCTGACCTGTAATGTCTTCCAACGGATCTCTCCATCTTCTCCCTGCCTGCCTCCCCCTCTTCCTTCCTCAGTGAGCGACAGTACCAGTCGCCCGCGCCAGAAATTGACTGGAAGGGGATTACAGTGTGAATGCAGCACTCCTGCTCTGACCATGAAGCTGAGCTGCCCCCCACTCTGATTTCTCCCTGGCTCCTCCTCCTGCTCCAGCCCCAGCTGTTCCTCAAGCCTCCTTGAGCCTGTGTCCCGAGTGTGTCAGGGTCCCGGCCTCTCTCCTGTCCTTTGCCCAGTCTCGGTGCAGGCATCCTCATCTCTCTTGACCACAGCAGCGTGTGTGCTCTTCTCTGGTGCAGTCTGCCCTCTGCACGTGGGCTCGTTGCCTTCATGCTCAGGTTTTGCTAGCTTTCCTTTTTTCCCAAAGACTCTTCTAGAACTGGTTCCCGCCTTCCAGAAGCTCAGCGCCTTTCCTGTGCCCCTGAGTTTTTGCTTCGGTTCTCTCTTCGGCCTAGGAAACCCCAGACTTCCCTCTGCAGCTCTGCTCTGTCTAGTTGACTCCTGGGTTTTTCAGGTCTTAGCACAAACGTTTCTTCTAGGAAACTTATCTGACCACCACAGACTTAGATATACTTCTTCTTTGGTTCTGTAATTCTGTTTCATCAGCGAATTTTTCCCACCTATTGTACATACTTGTTGACTTGTCTCTGATTTGCCTGTAAACCCCATGAGAGCACAGACAGTGTCGGTTTTGCTCACTTTGCTGTTCCAGAACATGGTGCATTGTCTTCCCCACACTAGGTGCTCAGCAAATACTGCTCAATGAATGAATGTGTGAATGATTGAATGAATGAACGAATATTATTGCTGCCTTTACAGAAATTACTCTTCAGTTAGGGGGAAAAGCTCTATATACTTTGAAGTAACGATGTTATGAGTTCCTAAGTATCACACTGCCAGTCTACTGGCAGAACCCAGGTACAATCTGGCTCTCCTAACTCCACTCATTTGTGCCTTTTTCACTCAGCAGAACTGCATTCGGATTAAATATGTGTCTTGAAAGCCTTTTTAATCACCACTTCATGAAATTAAGTTTCTGTTTTAATGTCTGTTGCCTTTTGCAAAATCCTCAATGCAGTTTAAAATGTTTGGTTTTATCTTTTTTTTTTTTTTTTTTTAACAGGCAGAGTTAGACAGTGAGAGAGAGAGAGAGACAGAGAGAAAGGTCTTCCTTTTTCCATTGGTTCACCCCCCAAGTGGCTACTACGGCTGGCGCATTGTGGCTGGCATGCTGCGCCGATCCGAAGCCAGGAGCCAGGTGCTTCCTCCTGGCCTCCCATGTGGGTGCAGGGCCCAAGCACTTGGGCCATCCTCCACTGCACTCCCAGGCCACAGTAGAGAGCTGGACTGGAAGAGGAGCAACCGGGACAGAATCTGGCGCCCCAACCGGGACTAGAACCCGGTGTGCTGGCGCCGTAGGTGGAGGATTAGCCTAGTGAGCTGCACCGCCAGCCTGGTTTTATCTTTCATAAATACCATATCAAAAATAGGCATGGAAGTTTATAAATATTTAGCATAAGGCAATTCAGACAAACTAGATGATTATTATAATTTATTCCTTCTTTTTTTTTAGTTGTGATAGCCGCTGATGGAGTACTAAAGGTAGGATTATTTCCTTTAATTTTTTTAATTGTTAATTTCGCATGTAGGTTTTTGTGATTGATGATTCTGTTTCGGACAATAAATGGGAAGTTGATGTTGGTTCCTGTTTTCGCAGATCTGTGATTTCGGTGCCTCCCGGTTCCATAACCATACAACACACATGTCCTTGGTTGGAACTTTCCCCTGGATGGCTCCAGAAGTTATCCAGAGTCTCCCCGTGTCGGAAACTTGTGACACATATTCTTATGGTGTGGTGAGTTCATGTCTCATTCCTTCTTTGCTCAAAGAAATTCAAAAGCCAGGCAGCAAGGAGAGGAGAGGTCCCATATTTTGGCACCATTTCCTTTGAGATAGGTCTGCTCTTTCAGATGAGACGTCTGGAAGAGTGGTCCAGGAAGAATACTTTAAAATGTCCAAGATGTGTACTTTGGTTACTTTTTGCATCTGAGTTCTTTTATTCTGAATTGAGAAGAAACCTCACTTTGAGAAACCCAATTAGCTGGAACCTGAAATAGTGCTGGGCCAGATGCCGTCCTGTAGAGAATGCTTGTGCACTGAGTGGAGAGATGACTAGAGTGTCTGTGTAACTCAGTGGAAATGGGGGTCTTTTGGAACAGGACTTCATGGTCATGGGTTGCTCAGATAGTATAAAATCACCAGTAGTTCTGCCAAGTGTCCTCATTAGCAGGAAACTTGAGTATCAACTCTTTAGGTGATTAGTGAGTTTTTAAAAGTACAAAAGAAAACGTACTTAGCAGGTGACACTTCGATAGTAGCAGTGTGGATCTAGGGTATGACATGAGGGTGGTGACAGAGCAACATAGAAGAGTAGAATAATGGGAGGTGGGGTGGAGTGCTCAAGGAGTAGATACTGCAGGGAGGAATGAGTCAAGAACATTAACTTCTGGAGGAGTATGAAGATGAATCATTCTGGAGTGATAAGTTACCCCTGTGTTATCAGAGAGAGAAGGAAGGGTTGGGACAGTTTTTTGCTGGATGAAGGAATTCATTTTTTGCCTTAAAAAAATATTTGTTTGAGAGACAACATTTGGTTCTTCCCCCAAATGCCCACAATGGCCTGGACCAAGGCCATAGCTGGGAGCGTAGAACTCAGTCAAGGTCTCCACTGGTGGGAGACAAGAACCCAATTATTTGAACCGTCATCTGCTGCCTCCCAGGTCTGAGCTGGGAAGAAGCTGGAACTGTGTTGAACCCAAACACTCTGAAATAGGAAGCAGGCATCTTAGCTAGTGTCTTAGTCACTAGGTCAAACACCTCTCCCTAGTTGCCCTTTTTTTTTTTTTTTTTTTTTTTTTTTGAGGGCAAGTGTTTTCCCTAAACTATATAGACAGCCTTTAAAAAGTTCAAGATAGTATTGAATTCCTGTCTTTCTGTCTCATCTCCTAATTATACCACCTCTCTATTTATACGACCTTGTCTTAAAAGGACATTTTCATAATGATAGGAAAAGAAGCAGACTAATTTGGGCCCAAGTAGCTTGCCTCTTCCTCCTGAGTGTCTGTGTGTTCCGACCGAGGGTGGTGGCTGATGGCAACGAGGAGATCAACACTGCCCAACACATTCCTTTTTCTTCTTTTATCAGTCTCTAGGTATTTACTGCTGGCTTCGTTGCTTAAGCTTTGGGATGGTTTCAGTTGGCTAGCTCTTTGCAAGTCATAACACATCCTATGCACACCAAATTAATATAATAGAGATGAATTCTGTTGGCTATTGGAAAAGATTTCAGGATGACATGGGGCAAACATCTGGCACAGTGGTTAAGTAATTTTTTATCAGGGAGCCTGGATCAACTTCCGGCTACTCTGCTTCTGATCCAGCTCCCTGCTGATATGCACACTGAGAGGCAGCAGGTGGTTGGCTCACGTTCTGGTCTCTCGCACCCACATAGAAGACCCAGATTCAGTTCTGCACTGCTGACTTCAGTCTGGCCCAGACCTGCCCATGGCAGGCTTGTGTGGAGTCAACCAGCACATGGAAGATTTCGCTCTCTCTTTGCCTTTCAAATAAATAGAAATTTATTTTGAAAATGAAATACATATTTTTTACTAAATATACAAATTTTAAAGGTTAGAGGACATGAGTAACATCAGGCCACATATTCAATTTCCCTTAATTCTGATTATTTCTAAGAATGAAGACTGCAAACTGTAACAGGCAGTGATCAGATAATTTCCATTAAAAGAGGGAAACGGGGCTGGGTGTTTGGCACATGGATAAGTCACTGCCGGGGACTCCCACATCCTATATCAGGGTGCCTGATTGCAGTCCTGGCTGCCGTGCTTCTGTGCAACTTTGTGCTCATGTAAGCAGTGGGTGATGACTGAAATGTAGTCCTAGGCTCCTGGCTTTGGCCTGGCCCAGCCCTGGCTGTTGAGGGCATTTGGAGAGTAAACTAGCAAATGGAGCATATGTTGCTGTCTCTCTCTCTCTTTCTCTCTCTCCCCCTCTCCCTCTCTTTCTCCCCTTCTGATTTTCAAGTAAAATGGAAATAATAATAATAATAACATACTCATACCTGTTATTGTATCTACCTCTAACACATTTATATGAGTTATAGGCATAGGGAAAAAAAAAAAGGAAACAAAACCCAAGTTGCAGAGGAGACCAGATTCTAAAACTGATCTTCCACGTCAGCAGGAACTGTGTTCTGACCACACCTCCATCTGTTGGGCTTTCTGAACATGGGTGATTGGTTACAGTTAAGATTTTGTGTGAGGCTGTTTTCTCCTGTGAAGTCAGGTTGCTTCACTGAGTTGGGCACTGAGCTAGACACCAGTGTGAAGTGAATCAGCATTTACCTTAGCTGGCTCGCTGGCACCAGTATCTGGTTTTGTCCAGTAGCACAGGAGCCAACGTTTTCTTTGTAGAGGGCCAGAGAGTACTTGGGCTTGGCCTTGAAGGCTGCACACAGTCTCTGATTCCCAGTCTTTAAACATGGCAACTATACCCTGTGTTGTGCAGCAGACCCTGGAGTTCAGGAGCACGTGGGTCCCTCCCTCGGCACTCGTGGTGACCCAGCCCCAGGCCAGGCGCCCCCTCCTTTCTGCACGTGTGTGCAGGAGAATGTGTTTAGATGCTCATGGTTTCTACAATTTTTTTGCACGATTGAATGAGTTAGAAGACATCTGAGTATTATTTCACTGGTAAAAGCAAACTTCATACCACCTTTTTTCAGAATCCTTCTCATTGCCAAGGACTCTGGCGTGCAGTGCTTTTCCTTAGCTAGAGTGTGAGGAAATCCTTGTACAGTCCCCGCGAGCAGAGGCCCCTCCGTATAACCGCACACGGTGCTGGCGGGCGACTTCTGCTTGTACGGCGTGGGGTCCTGTCCTGGGCCTTTTGGAAGCCCCATTCCCACTGACCTTTTCCTTTTCCTTTTTCCTTTTTTTTTTTTTTTTTAAGGATTTATTTATTTGAAAGGCAGAGCTACTGAGAGGCAGAGAGAGAGGGAGAGGTCTTCTGTCCACTGTTTCACCCCCCAGGTGGCCGCAACGGCCGGAGCTGCGCCGATCCGAAGCCAGGAGCCAGGAGCATCTTCTGGGTCTTCTACACGGGTGCATGGGCCCAAGGACTTGGGCCATCTTCTACTGCTTTTCCAGGCCACAGCAGAGAGCTGGACTGGAAGAGGAGCAGCTAGGACTTGAACCAGTGCCATATTGGGTGCCAGCACTGCAGGCGGCGGCTTTACCCGTTACGCCACAGTGCCAGCCCCATTGACCCTTTCCTTAAATGGGGTTCGAGTTAACCTGTCGGGAGCTGCAAACATTCTGTTTCTTTTATGACAGACTTCTGCACTCAAGTGACTGTTTAAAATTTGTGTTGCCACACGGTAATTGTACATATTATGGGCCGCAGAGTGGCATCTAACTCACGCACGTAATGTGTCATGATCAGGTCAGGTTAATGGGAAGGGTCCGTCACTTCAGACACTTTCACCTAGAGTCCCGCCTGGCAGCCACTTTAGAATATTCTGCTCCTGAGCTGTAGACCGTGAGAAGTTAGGCCTCCTGCCAGCCACACCCCTGCGCCTGGGAGCGCTCCTCCCCTGTGCCCTGATCCCAGCGCTCGTGACCACTGCTCTCCTCTCTGCTTCTCTGACGTTGGCGCTTTAGCTTCCGCAGATAAGTGCGAGCAGGTGGGACACTGGAGTGGCAGGGCTCAGCGTGATCCCCTCTGTCCACGTGGTGGAGGACCCTACCTTTGCTTGATCTGCTTGTCTTTGACTTGGAGGAGATTTCACAGACGCTTAACAAGTGAGCCCATCGCTGAGCCACGCGCGCTGCCGGCTGCCCCGTGTTGCCACTGCTGCTGTTTGCTCACACACCGCATGCCGCTCCTCGGAGCCCGGGCTTAGGCCTCCAGGGCTGTGTTGGTGCTAGAGTCTTCCCCGACTGGTGGAGACGGAGCGATTCTCCTGCACCTCTGCTCTGACACAGCCCCTGCCATCCAACCGTCTGCGCGAGACAGGCTCGCCTGCCGCTCACTCCGCCTGCACTGGGCCATCTCATCCCAAACAGGAACTCACGATTGTGTCTGAAACGACCCCTTCTGCTCTGTTCTGCATAAGCACGACCAGTGAATGGGAAAGCACAGCAGGCGTTCTAGAGCCTTATTGTTGGAGTGATCACAATTTTTTTTCAATTTATTTTATTTGAGAGGTAGAGTTACAGAGAGAGAGGGGAAGAGATGGAGAGAGGTCTTCCATCCGTTGGTTCACTCCCTAATGGCTGCAAAGGCTGGAGCTAAGCAGATCCAAAGCCAGGAGCCAGGAGCTTCTTCTGGGTCTCCCACGTGGGTGCAGGGGCCCAAGGACTTGGGCCATCTTCTACTGCTTTCCCAGGCCATAGCAGAGAGCTGGATCAGAAGAGGAGCAGCCAGGACATGAACCAGTGCCCATATGGGATGCTGGCACTGCAGGTGGTGGCTTAGCCACTACACCACAGCGCAGCCCCACAATTTTGTTTTAATGAAATAAGCATGATATCTTCAAAGTGTCTGTCACTTACAAGAGCAGGAGGACAGTAATTAACTGGGGATTGTGTTTTTTTGAAATCTGAGCCATAAACTTTGAAAATGATGCCTATCTCAGGAAGCAATGTGTTTATTGAGAATTTTTGATGTCCTCACAAAAATAGGTGAGTAGCCAGGACTGGCTCATCAGTGGGGGCAGCATTTGTGTAAAACACCCCTGGTTCATTAAGAGTCTGTTCTGCTCATTGAAACCCTCCCCTGCGCTCAGCAGTCACACACGGTTCAGTAAGACCACTCAGGAGAGTTGCCTTATTTAAACCCACCCCCCAGAAATGCAGTGTGTGTTTGCCTTCTGTTTTTCTGGGATATTTTTTCAAGTTTGCTGTAAGAATTTATCCCCTTATCCACTAGTACTCCTTCCTCCCACCCCCACCCCCATATTTTTTGGTAAGATTTATTTATTTGAAAGGTAGAGTTAGAGAGAGGGAAGGAGAAAGGGAGTAAGACAGCTCCCCAGATGACTACAAAGACTGGCACTGGGCCAGGCCAAAGCCAGGAGCCTAGAACCCCATCCTGGTGTCCCACATGGGTGCAGAGGCCTAAAGACTGGGGCCATTTCCTGCTGTTTTCCTAGGCACAATAGCAAGGAGCTGGATCGGAAGTGGAGCAGCCAGGACTCCGGTGCTCATATGGGATGCCTGTGTTGTGGGTGGCAACCTAACCAGCTGTGCCACAGTGCTGGCCCCCTAGCACCCAGGATACTCGCCCTCCCCAGCTTCATGAACCCTTCTGCCTCTTGACATGTGTCAAGCCCAGCCTGCCTTGTCCTGTCTGAGAATAAACGTGTTACAGATGCCAGGAAGGGGTCTTGGGATCCTTGCTTCTAAGTTGGTCGATTTTGCTAGGCAGGTGCATTTTTTTCATTTTATGAAAAAGGAGATTGTTCTGCCCTCTTACAACTCCTGTTGAGAGATGGAACCAGAAGGAGCGTTCGGTAGGTCACGCACAGAGGAAGAGAGAAACAGAAACTCACTGAGAGAGCAAGCCTTCCGCAGCCCTGCGGCCGAGCCCCTCTTGAAGAAGAAGGCTGTGCTGATGCCAGTGTGGGTGCGCTCACCTTCTTAGAAGCTTCTTGGCCAAGACCAGCTTTGAAAACAGAGGGGCCTAAGAGGTGCTGGCTGCCCGTCTCGTTTGGGAGCCTGTGTCAGAAGCAGCGGGCACAGGTGACGGCTGGCTGTCGTTTGCGAGAGAAGACGCAGGACAGGTAGAGCCGCATCCAAGTTTCTGGTCTGTAAACTTGTGAGCCCTGTTGAGCTGTGAAGACATCGCAATATAAAACGAGTTGGAAAATATTTGTAAAGTGAAAGGTCATGATGATGTTTGGCCTGTTGGCCTGTACCCTTGTAACTGGTGTTTGAAGGCGCCCCTCGGTGTATTTTTAGACTTCCAACTGACTTCCTCCACCAAGTTCCACTTTTGTGCCACAAGCCTAGCGCAGAAGCAGCCCTGGTCCTGTCTCATTCCACTTTACTTCTTGATGCATTCCTGAATCCAGAGAATCACCGGGAAGAAACCGGGAGATGCGCTTGTACTGGAAGCAAACCAGCCAGCTCGCATGGGCCTCAGCACGCCGCCCCGGCTGCCCACTGCCGTCAGGGGACCCCTCAGCTTGTGCGGCCCTTGGAGACACAGGGCGGTGATAAAATGAAACTGCCCCATTTTCTCAGGGTTAGGGCTCTCAGAGAAATATAACTCAGATCTTAGACGATTTAGGACACTTTTCAGTGGAATATTTTGGAATAAAAGTCTGGTATCAATGTTTTCCGGGTGTCATTTTCCCGAACTCTTGGTTTTACATTGTACCTTTCAAAACTCAGAGTGTGTGTGTGTATGAGAGAGTGTGTGTGTATGAGAGTGTGCGTGAGTGCTGCATGCACGTATGTACCCAGTGTGTGTTGTACCTGCAGGCCAAACTGAGAAAAGGAGGCACAAGGCTGCTCCCCTGAGTATGCTGGGGTCTGGAGCCTTTGAGTTTTCTTAGGCTGGTTTCATGTTCCCATTCTCCTGCGTGATGCCATGGCCATGCTCTTCCCGGCTCTTCGGCTCCCTTGCTACCCCCAGCCCCTGTGGAGTGGTAATTGACCAAGTGGAGGGGCTCCATTTCCAGCTCAGCCCTGTCGCTGCGCGGGCCCCCCTGTGTGTGGATGGCGTGTGGGGGTGACTGCATACCTGTGCTGGCTCCCCCTTCCCTTCCGCCCAGTGTTTGCCAGATTGTGCCCCTCTGGCATGTCCCTTTCCTCTGCCTAAGCACTCGTGTGACTCAAATAGAGTTGTTCAGCAGCTCTTCTAAAGAAGTACCTTGCACACTTGATTGAAAGCCCAAAGAGGCTTCAGGTGGTGGTTGTTGTTTTTTCTCCAGCTTGAGCAGCATCTGCCAATTTCTGATTTTCCTGCCTTTGTATTAGCCAGAATTCCTTTAACGTTTTGTTGCTCGAGTAAGGCTGCACGCTGGCTGGGGCAGTGGCCGATGTTACAGGGGTTAGGGCTCGCTCGAGCTGGGGCATTGTCTTCCAGCTGCCTTCTGATTGAGACCTTAGAGCAAGGGAGATCCACCCCTGAACTGCTGGGTTCTCGCCTCACTCCGGCTGTGGCTCCACGCACAGGGCACGCTCCGTGTGGGCCTTCTAGCCCCGCCCCTTTCCCTTCTCTGGAATTACATGGGGTCCAGAGCTTGACCCTCCCCTGCCACTTGATAAAGGAGTGTCTTGGATGAGTTTCAGTTTCTTAAACCCTGGTTTCCTCACCTATAAACTGAGGAGCACAGCTACGCAGATAGGAGTGACATTAATCATGATATGGATGTAAAGAGGGTGTTAAACCAGCATTCAGTAAATGGTAGTGGCTCTTACTGTTATGATAAAGTTAGGATTGTTTTTGCACTTTACAAAGTATTGTTAGACTGAATTTTTTTTTATGTCCGTTTGTTTTAATAAAGTAACTGAGCCTACAAACTTTCCTTACTCAGTGTTCGGAGAGCAACCAGAGTCAGCAGCATGCTAGCGGTAGGGAAATGCTGTGGACATTCTAGCTCTAATCTATCAACTTGGACCCACTGAGTGACCTCAAGGACCGCATGTCCATGAACACCACCAACCTCCATGGACGTGGTGTTCATTACGTTTTAGACCATGTTGTCTTAGATTATAGGTGGATGAAACGGAACCTCTTAGACGGACTCATTTTGGGAGAGACTTCTTGGAAACACAAAAACTAAATGTTAGAGTTTTGCAACCATCTACCGTTTTGGGGCGTAGGTGAGGTAGGTTAGCCAGTGGTTTGGATTTGGAGTTCAGTGTATTTTTTTCAACAGACTGTTATTGAAGTATTAAAAATACTGTTGAATTCCCAGTTACTGTCTCAAAATGAAATGTATGAGATTGAAAGAACAAAGAGTTTGAAGTAACAAAATACAAAATCAAATTTGTAGGAATTCATGAAACCCTATCATGCAGATCCATTGGTTTCATAAAATTTTTAAAGTCTGGCTGTAGATATTCTAACTTCTAAACCAGGTTTTTTAGTTATTAAAAAAAAACATGGAAAGTATATAATATCTGAAGTACCCTGTATGAATATAAATGTTCTTCCCAAGTTTCTACAGATGGCGTTGGTTGTGTCTGGTAATTGGATACAATTAAGTGTTATATAAATTTTCAGTAATATACCAAAAATATAGAGTGCAAGAATAAAAATTCCACTTTCTTTTTGTTCCAGGTTCTCTGGGAGATGCTAACAAGGGAGGTCCCCTTTAAAGGTTTGGAAGGATTACAAGTAGCTTGGCTTGTAGTGGAAAAAAACGAGGTAAGACTACATTTCTCCATTCAGGTACATAGATCAGAAAACAGTATTGGGGTTTTGCAAAAGACTTTTTCATCTTCTTCAAATTGAAAGTAAGTTCACGCTTATGGAAAGATTAGCAGTAGGAGCTAACACAAAGGGTCAAAGTGATGTTATTCCTCATGAATGGGCCCTTTACATCTAATTGTTGCAGCCTCACGTCGTGATGCTGTAGATCAAAAGTTGTACAAGTACTGTACTAGTTTCTCAGTCTCAATTGTAAAACCTAGGGGTTTGTTCTTAGTGATGAAAGAAGCCATTGCGTCCCAGGTAGGGGAACAGTTTAACTCCATCTCCCGCGTTTAGGACGTCTTTTTTACTGGCCGGGAGTTGATATAGCTGTAAGAGACCTTCAGCTACTTCAACTTACCTCTCCCAGCAGGAGTCACTAGAGTACAAGAAACTGTCGCTTAGATGAGAATTTCAAAAATAAAAGAAGAAAAAATAGTTTCAAAAAAGGGGAAAATGACAGTTTTGCCACCTACGTTGAGCACCACATTGAAGATGAGCTGCTCTCTGGAATTGGCGAGGCAGTGGCGTAACTGTGCGCTTCTTCATGCAGAGCCTTTCCATTTCAAAAGGACTTCAGTGGCGTAAACACCGTTGGTGCTGTGTCCCCAGCCTCGCTTTTCTTCTTCCCACAAATTGAGGCTTTCAGTTAGTTGGACCTATGAGCCTACATCAGAGACCATGGCACATTCATATCAAAGAGAGCAACTACATTTTGAAAGGTTTAAAATCGTGACTGAAACGCACAGCCATGGAAATTCTCAGCATAAGGACGAAGCATCCATCTGAAGGTATTAGGAGACCTTGGAGCCCGTCGCGGGGGCATGCGGTTGTCTTTGCAACGGGAGGCCGCTCTGTTTCCGGGTCTTGCCCGAGCCCTGCAGAAAGGGTAAGAGTGCAACGTCAGGTTATAAAATAATTTGCAAAACGATGACTAGGTAAAGGTACTCCCTTTTTTATGCCTTGAAAGAACTCGAGTGATCTGCCCCGCAGTCTGAGTGCAGGGCCAAGCTGGATTAAGTGCAAAGCCGCTCTTGACCAGGAGACCAGAGTTCCATCCTTTCCATGGCACAGTCCAGCCTCACCTTGCTGGTTTGTCCTCCGATGCTTCGGGAATGGGTGGAATGTTGATCACCGAGCCTGATGGGAGAGAGCTGCCCCTTCAGGGAGCAGAAGAAGGCGCCCTACTCCTGTGTCATGTTTAATTGACTGTGAGTCAGTCCTGGCGCGCTATTAAATAAGGGTGCACCCACAGGGCGACTGATACTTTCCCGGTAGGAGGGTCCCCGTGTTTCCATTCTGTTTTCTGTCGCCCATGAGATGGTGAGATGTTTGGTCCTGGCCTTACAGTGAAGAGACCTGGTGACCTCTTGTTGGCCCTGGTGCAGGACACTCAATATAACCTCTCCCAGCTACACCGTTCCAAGACAAATGAGGAGGGAGGTTTGCTTTCTAAAGCTAACAGGACCCCCCAGTAGGTAGAAGACAGAACAACTGGTATTTTAAAACTGGATTTTATCCAAAGGATAGCAGAGGCCATATTCTTTCCAGTCTCCATTTAAATAACTGATGGCACATTCACACCCTCAGGAAGGCATTTTGGATGTGTCCATAGCCAGGTACTGCGGTGGTCTCTTCTTGTTAACTTGTTAAAGTGCAGTAGTGATAGACCAACAGAAATTTATAAAAATATTCCCAAGGATCCTGTGGATCCCTCCGTGGCCGCCCCGACGGTGCCATCCTGGATAACCGCAGCCGGGGCTCGGCATGGGCGCTCAGATGGAGCCTCCCTCCCAGGCCGGGTTCGTCAGTTAGGATTGCTCTGTGCATCCATGGGAAGAAGAATCCTTTCTCAAAGTTGTATCTGGACCTCTTTGTTTCTAAACCCTAAATGAGATCTTTAAACACTCATTTTCTGTCTAATACACCATCTTAATCAAAACTAGATTCATACAGCACTGCTGATCTTTACAAAGTAAGCAATGAGCCAACACCAAAAACCTTTTTATGGAATAGGTGTGCCTGTTTGCTCTCACCACTGCCAGGAAGCCCACTTAGTACCCTTCTGAACGTTCTGGCGGGATAATTTCCGATTTTTATGAATCCTTAGCAAAGAACAAGTTTTATTTTAAGGCACCTTGAAACTTTCATAAAACCTAACCCACAACTCTTGACTATACTTTAGAAGATAACAACTTAAACATAATTTTTACATGTTATATAGAAAATTATGCAAAAAAGAATATGATCTTAAAAAAAACGCCTGATTCATTGACTGGGAAGTATGTTCATTATAAATATGAAACTTTTATCCTAAAACATTTATGTTGTAAGTAATGTTGCAAACCTGGTGTTAAGATCTGGTCATTTCAGAATGTTTTAATGCAATAGGAATGTTCACAGTTACGTAATCAGGACTTAAATACTTTGGATTCTATTTTAAAGTACTTTTAACACACCAAAATAATTCCTTACATAAAGTGTCTGGGTCTAGATTTAACTGGTATTTGACCATGTCAGATTATTTTAAATAAGTATCTCTTGGTATGATATCTTAGTGCTGGTATCTAAAAAGTTTCCTAATAAGAAAAGATGACAGAAATGATCATTCATATTCAGCCTGTCCCCATTTCAGTTCTTAGGAAAATGAGGAGATGGAGTTACATTTTTTAAAAAATTACACTTCACAAAAACTCATTACTTTCAGTTACACATGGAGAACATTGAGTTGCATGACTGCAGTTACAACCTGTTTTATTAGTTTATATCTCCCAACCATCTTTTATATTTTAAAAAAGAAAATAAATGCCTCATTTTTCTTTTGACCTTCATCAAAAGGCTTGCAGTTCACATTACAGTAAAACGATAGCATAGGCTAATACCTCTTGCTCTGTTCTGTGAAATCATAAGACTGGAAGTTAAATGCACCTTTAATTTGGAGAAGGTTGTTTTGCTTCTGAGCTTGCTCGTGTTTTGGTTTTAAGATTTATCTGTACCAAATATAGATCGTCAGTTTCCTTGCCAAGGCAACTGTTTTTGTAGTTTTACATGTAGCCTCCCCTAAATCCAGCTAAGCTCAGTTTTTTTTTTTTATTTGCAAAACTTCTTCAGCAGACACTACTGTGGAATAACACTTCTCAGTCCCTCTTAGTACGGCAGCACTCAGCTCACCACGCCCCGTGCTGTCTCCGTTAACCCCCCTTCACACCCCTGAAGGGAATCCAGAGGGAACACAGCCTCCCTACGCTCATTACAAGTCAATGCGGTGCAGTAACTGCAATACAAGGGGCAAGCGACTGAAACGTGTTTTGCAGCACACACGAGCTCAGGCAGGACCGCACTAGAGGAGATGACGGAGCAGTTAGTTGTAGGTGTGTGCTCTTCTGCAAACACAACCTGATCGAGCTGGGTATCTTGATGATTCCAGTAACAAAAGCAGTACTGTTAACGGTGGCATTCTCCAGATGCCTTGAAGTTATCGATAATGTAAAAATCAGTCCGCCTTTGATTTGTTCCATGGCTGCATACTCGGGAAGTCCAGCAGACTTTCAAACTGTTCAAGAAGCACTTTGTGTTTATCTGTAAGGCAGAGTTCGATTGTAGGCCCAGACAACCCCACACCTCATGGTTTGCTTGCTTTACTTCCATGAGTGCACTTGGGTTATTTGAAATTGGATGGGGAGCAAGAATTCTTGATCATGGAGAGCTTCGTTTATTGAAGGATGTCTAGACTTCTGACCTTCTCTCTTTAAATGCCAGTTCCAGCTCTTCATCCTTCAAACAAACAAAATTGCCCCTGCAGAACAGCTCTACGTGAACGCTCCTACTGTTAGAGCAGGGCTGGCCCCCAGGTGGTAATTCATGTGCTCTCAGGTCCTTACAGACTAGAGACTGACCAAAACAGGGCCATGACAAGTCATCCATTGAGAATGGCTTCTTTACCAACAAGAAAATGCACAGTTCTTTCGAATCATGTCTGTGATCTGGGCTGAAGATGTTTTCAGAGTTGTATACCTGTTGTCAAAGCTAATGCAGTTCCCTAGTTACCTGGCCTGTTTGCATGTAACAGTACAGGGATGGATTTGCAGTTTCAGATTTAGAACTTAAGTTCCAACTTGTCCTCCTCCTGCTGAGGCTTCTTTTAGACATGATTCTATGTCTTGCTACATTTGTTTATGCCGAACCTGACTTCTCTATGCACTGGAAAAGAGTCCTTAGATACTAGGTATTACAAATCCAAATATAAACGCCGTCCCATCTTGTATTGATCCCTGGGAGCTATAAAGTTGATACCTTGTTTATGCTCTTGAGTTTCCTCTTAGGAAGAAAGAGCCCTCCCATGCATTTCCTTGACTTCATGTGTAGATCCGTGTGTTTCAGTGTTTGTTTTTCCTTCTCTCTCATAGAGATTAACCATTCCCAGCAGTTGCCCCAGAAGTTTTGCTGAACTGTTACACCAGTGTTGGGAAGCTGATGCCAAGGTATGTAGAGTGACATTTTGCAGGGTATGGGGGCCTACAGTAATGAAATTTCACATGTTTGTGTGGCTGTTTGCCTTTTTTTTTGACAGGCAGAGTTAGAGAGACAGAGAGAAAGGTCTTCCTTCTGTTGGTTCACCCCCCAAATGGCCGCTACGGCCAGTGCTGCGCCGATCCGAAGCCAGGAGCCAGGTGCTTCCTCCTGGTCTCCGACACAGGTGCAGGCGCCCAAGCACTTGGGCCATCCTCCACTGCCTTCCTGGGCCACAGCAGAGAGCTGGCCTGGAAGAGGAGCAACCGGGACAGAACCCGGGGTGCCGGCGCTGCAGGCGGAGGATTAACCTAGTGAGCCGTGGAGCTGGCCCTGTGGCTATACACTTTTAAACTTGGGGGTAGTTCACTCCATTGCAAAGCAAGCAAAGCAAGCCATGTTGCAGCTCCCGGGCGTGTTGAGACACAGCGTGGAGGCTTGCGTTGACATCTGTTCTTCGCGTCTCCCGAGATTCACTGCAGACTCTTACAGCACTCTCTGGTGTTCTGGCTTCAGTAAAAGTAATTTTGTTCTGTTTTTAATCTTCAGTAATAACCTTGCACCTCTATGTTACAAAATGACCAGCGCACAGTACTTACGTGGCAGGCACCGTTCCAGTAACTGTGTGTATATTAGCTCATTTATTCCTGAGATCCGCTCTTCGAAATAGGTGCTGTTGTTATGCTCATTTTGCAGATGGAGAAACAAGGCACACAGAGGTTAAGTAAGGAGCCCAGGGCCACAGGGCTCATAAATGGCGGGGCTGGACGAGAACCCACGCGGTCTGGCACGAGTCTCTGCTCTTAGCCGCTCCGCTGTGTTGCCGTTCTCCCCCAGGAGCAGGCAGAGGGAGCACTCCTCGAGGCTCTGGATGTGTGCTCCCTGTCCAGCTTCCCTGGGCTTTCTGAGCCATCACAGTGGAGTTGGAGAAATTCCAGCACTTAAGCTTTCATGTGGTTATCATATTTGAGCATGAATGGCCCATTTCCTTTCCCTACAAAGATCATTTGAAAAAGACTTTCATACATACGGAAATATTTACAGATAAAATGATAGGGTAGTCTTGGATTCACTTCAAAATAAAGTGAAGGGAAATGCGTGATGGTACAGATTACACAAGATGGGCCACGGTAATTTTTGAAGCTGAGTGATAGGTATATGGAGGTTTGCGATGTTTTCTCTCCACTTTTGGGTATGTGTGGAATTTTCCCTAATAAACGGCTACAACAATGAAAAGTATTCTCACAAATTAAGTGTTAGACTAAGAGAGCATTTACGCTCAAGAAAAGAACCAAAACTTTATCATTCAAAATTGTCTGGTTCTTCGTGGAGATAAAGGTATCGCAACTGACCTTTTAAAAGTAAGAGACCAGAAAAGGAAGCTTACAGAATGGGCTTTCTTCCTTAATTTGATCCCAGTTCTAGTCTTACACCCAAGAGGAATGGAGGCTGATACCATCCAGTATCATACAGCATATAGCATGTATCATACAGCCATACAGTATCATACAGCCATACAGCATGTATCATACAGCCAACCAGTATCATACAGCCATCCAGTATCATACAGCCATCCAGTATCATACAGCCATCCAGTATCATACAGCCATACAGCATGGCTCTTCAGTGGGAAGCCCTCAGAAGCCTCCGGGGAGGACGAGGACTGTGTTAGTGTAACACAGAAGCTCTGCTGACACATCACATCCAGTGACTGCTTCTGCGTCCCAGCGTGGTGTCCTGAACTGAGTGCAGCCAGGGACACGGGCAGGGACATGCTCCTATCGTCCCACATGCCCTGGCGTGGCCTGGAGGAGTTGGTTGCCGTTCTCCCCGGCTGCGTCCATTTGGCCTTTGCCCTGATGACCTGTACCCTCAATCTTTGCCTTCACTCCTATTCGTCAGATTCCCTTTACCTTTTTGAAAGTTGAGTACTGTGTTTACTTAGTGTTATTTATTAAAGTATTTATTCTATTTGAGAATCAGAGAGGGGCAGGGAAACAGACAGAGCTCCCATCCAGTAGTTCACTTCCCAAATATCCGCAATAGCCTAGGCCAACAGACTAGGCCAGGTCCAGGCCAAGAGCCACTAATTCCACCTGAGTCTCCCATGTGCGCCGCAATGATCCAACTACCTGAGTGATCACTTGCTGTCTCCCAAGATGAACATTAGCAGGAAGCTGGAATTAGGAGTAGAACTGGGACTCAAAGCCAGGCACCCTAACATGGGACACTGGTGTCCCAACCAGCAGCTTACTTGCTAAGCCAAACACTCACCCCTTACTTAATATTTTTTTAAAAAAATATTTATTTACTTGAATGGCAGAGTTAGAGAGAGAGAGAGAGAGAGAGACAGAGACAGTCAGAGGTCTTCTATCCACTGGTTTGCTCCCCAAATGGCCACGATGGTCAGGGCTGGGCCAGGCCAAAGCCAGGAGCCAGGAGCTTCAGCTGGGTCTCCCACACAGGTGCAGGGGCCCAAGCACTTGGGCCATCCTCTGCTGCTTTCCCAGGCCTTGAGCAGGGAGCTGGATCAGAAGTAGAGCAGCCATTGCCCTTATGGGATGCCAGCATCGCGGATGGTGGCTTTACTTACCATGTCACAACACCAGCCCCTTAGTACTGTTTTTATTAAAGAATTATACATGCTTTTTAGCTATGTTAGTATTTTTATTTAGAGTCGTTATTATGTTTATTAGCACTGTATAATAAAGTTGCATATAATAAAGTCTGTCCTAGCCCTGTATGGACCCTGTTTTTAGTGTAGGATTTTGCAGAGCTTGACATGTTTAGGCATTAAAGAGAAATGCCTGCAGTTTGCAACTAATCCAGTACAAAGTGTAAGCAGACGTCTGCAGACTTGCTTTAAAACACTCAATTTCTACTGTGAAAATAGCATCATACTACCCTTTCCCTAATCTTGCAACCTGTCTTATGTCCAGTATGATATATAGAGTAAGTTTGATATTTTTTTTCTGAGGCTTAAAGGACAATTTTGCGTGAAATAATTTGCATTGAATTAGATTGCTACAACTACATCTATACTTTTAATTACATTTCAGTATGCAAAGCAGTTGTTGAATGTCTTAGTGGGGAACTTGGTACTGCATAATTACAGTTCTGAGGATGTACGTGTGTGCTGCGTGAGGTGGTATAAACCTCACACCAGTGTTAGAGCCATGGAGTCTGCGTGTCCTTCACATGGAGTGGGCTGACGCTTCTTTAAGGCCAAAGGCATCTTCTGTTCCTGCAATGAAACAGACAAAGTTCAAGATTGGTTTTTGTTTCCTGGATTTCCCGAATTCGCTTTGTTCTGCTAAAACTGCGTCCTGCCCCGTGCATGCCCTGTGCCTGCCCTTCCAGCCTGCCCTCTGCTCACCTCCTCTCAACACAGCTTCCACGCTGCCCTTCTCAGCAAGTGCTCTCTTCCCCTTGTCTTCCTACCCCATCACACCTGCCGTGGTTCCCCTTCTGATCCCAGCCCACACTTGCCGCTCCCTCCTCCAAACGGTAGTCTCAGTTCCTGCCTTACCTTGTTCTGTTAAGATAGCTCTTGCTAAATGCATTGCTAGCTCTACAGGGGACTGGAGCCACCTCTTATTGGTGTTTGTGTCCCTAACACATCTTACGTCAGTTTATCAAGTAGCTGCCCAGTTTGTTGCTGTGTGAATCAGCCAGATGGCAGGTCATGTCCTGAGAGGCCCAGGTCAGTTCTCTGCCTGGAAATACGAGGCTGTTCTGCCAGAGGTGGGTGCCAGTCCTGTGCACATACGTAGAGCAGTAGCTGATGGGAGTGCTCGGTTTTTTGTCAGTCCTCAAGCTTTAGGGTGTTAGCACCCAGGTTGTACTATTCAGGCCACCCACAGAACGGGTGTTCTCTTGCAGTGAGGAGGGGGGATGGGTGCACGCCAAAGTTGGAGGAGGGCAATGGGTCATCCCAGTGGCTTACACTGGGCGCCCAGACCATTCTGTCAAAGAGAAAGAAAAAGGAAAGGTAAATGTTGGTTCAAGCCCTGAAATGACACGCCTCAGTAAAGAAATAGTAATAGTTCAGCCCATGTGCTCACTTCCTAGGAAGGAAGGTGTGTGTCTTCCCTTGGGAGACGCCGAGTGTGGGAGCACAGACTCTGTCTATGACCTGCTCGCTGGGTGGGACTGGCCAGCTCCCTCTTTTCTGGAAGTCTCTCTAAGTCTATAAAGTGAAGGTAGCAAATGGAGAAATAGTATATGTAGATATAGTACATGTGGAAATGGTCCTTGTGATTTTTGTTTTCAGTAAGCAGGGCCCAGGTATCATGTGAGAGAAAGCTGAGTGCCTGTAGAGCAGCAGCCCGAGGTGCCGATGCACGGCCCCCTGCAGCAGCACGCACGAGAGCCCACGGTGCTGTTGTTCTGAAACATTCACACCGGTCACTTTGTCTAAGGGCAGACTCCAGCTATAAAATTACAGTCTTTCTAGGGGTTCTCGTTCAATTATGAAGGTTTCACTGTATTTCAAGAATGATTATGAATATTATTCTGTAAAAATCCTTGAGTTTCTCCTGCTTTTCCTTACAAAATGAAAAATCCTTTATTATGTAATTAGTTCCTGTGCAAAAAAAAAATTTTTTTTCTTTTAAAACCTGACACATGGTGGTAGAAATTAAGATGGAAATAGAGTTAAAGGAGACAGGATATTGTTCAAGTTTCCTGCTTAAGGCAGTTTTCTCTTTACTTACTAAAAAGCTGAATATATGCCAGTAGCATTTAGGTACTTATGCCGTCTCTTTAAAACACAGACACACACACACACACACACAAGCATGTGCTCTTAAAAAGAGAAAAATAGTGGCCTAACTCCATAGCTCAGTTGTGTATTTCTGAGAAATGGGAAAATTGCTTTTCTTACTAATACAGGAGGCTCTCGGTCCTGAGAGCAAGCTACCTCAACATTGTTCTTTCTTGTTTTTGTGCGCCCAAATTAAAATGCATGTTTAATTGCTGCAACTGTAATTTGTTCAGAAATGGTATAATTACAAGGCATGTGAAGAGAGACTGTGCATCATCCTTTTATTCTCTTCCTCCGTTTTTGTTTTAACCTTTTGTCTCAACCTTGGCTGGAGTCTAAGGAGAGAGACGAGGATAGCTAGTGTGAGCTAAAGAAATGTACTTCCCACTGCCTCCCGCCCTGCTGAGCAGCGTCTCCCGGTGTCCCGCACGGAGGCTCATTCTAATGTGGGATAAACATTGAGAGCAGTGACTTTAAAATTGGAGGATCTTTTTCCTAACCAGCTGAAATTGGGAAATTTTATTCCAGAAGTCATCAATTTGGAATTAGATTTTTTCTGCTAACTTTTTTTTTAAGATTTATTTATTTATTTGAAAGTGTTGGGGCCAGCGCTGTGGTGTATCAGGAAGAGCCCACCGCCTGCAGTGCCAGCATCCTATGTGGGCACCAGTTTGAGTCCCGGCTGCTCCACTTCCAGTCCAGCTCTCTGCTATGGCCTGGGAAAGCAGTGGACAATGGCCCAAGTGCTCCCGGCTCCTGGCTTCAGATTGGCGCAGCTCCAGCTGTTGCAGCCATCTGGGGAGTGAACCAGAGGATGAAAGACCTCTCTCTTTCTCTTTCTCTCTCTCTCTCTCTCTCTCTGCCTCTCCTTCTCTCTGTGTGTAACTCTTTCAAGTAAATAAATAAATCTTTAAAAAAAGAAAGAGAAAGAGTTGCACAGAGAGAGAAGGAGAGGCGGAGAGAGAGAGGTCTTCCATCCACTAGTTCACTCCCCAGTTGGCTGCAGTGGCCGGAGCTGTGCCGATCCAAAGCCAGGAGTCAGGAGCTTCCTCCAGGTCTCCCATGTGAGTACAGGAGCCCAAGGACGTGGGCCATCTTCTGCTGCTTTCCCAGGCCATAGCAGAGAACTGGATTGGAAGTAGAGCAGCCAGGTCTTGGCGCCCATATGGGATGCTGGCACTGTAGGCAGCAGCCTTACCCACTGTGCCAGAGCACCAGTCCCCTGCCAACATTTTTTATAAAACATACAAAAATTTAAAGAATTGTACAGCAGGGGCCGACGCTGTGGTGCAGTAAGTAAAGCTGCTGCCTGTAGTACCGGCATCCCATATGGGCGCTGGTTCGAGGCCCGGCTGCTCCACTTCCTGCTCAGCTCTCTGCTGTGGCCTGGGAAGGCAGTAGAGGACGGCCCAAGCCCTTGGGTCCCTGCACCCACGTGGGAGACCCGGAAGAAGCTCCTGGCTCCTGGCTTCGGACTGGCCCAGATCCGGCTGTTGTGGCCATCTGGGGAGTGAAACAGCGGATGGAAGACTTCCCTCTCTCTGCCTCTGCCTCTCTGTAACTCTACCTTTCAAATAAATAAATAAATCTTTAAAAAAAAAAAAAAAAAAAGAATTGTACAGCAAACACCAAGAACACCAAGATACTCAGACTCCCATTAACTTTTTACCAGTTTTATCACATAGATGTTTTTAAGGACTAATTTTTTTCCTTTGAGGAGCCCTTAATCATACCCAAAGAGAACTTCTACCTGGAGAAAAACACTAATTATCCCAAGCTTAGGCCACATGGATAGAAAAACAACATCAGAATCTATTCCTTCTCCTTTTAAATTTTTATTTATTTCCATTTTATTTGAAAGACAGATAAATGGAGATAAAGAGACAGACACACAGAGCTCTTCCATCTGCTGGTTCACTCCCCAGATGCCTGCAACAGCCTCAGCTAAGCCAGGTCCAAGCCAAGAGACTGGAATTCAATCAGGTCTCGCACGTGGGTGGCTGGAACCCAAGTACTTGAGCCGTCACCTGCTGCCTCCCAGGGTGCATATGTTCTTCAGCATAAGTAATCCAAAATATGGAATCTGCTGTAAATAACGTTGTGTCGCGTTTCCTTTCGCCCGCCCGGTGGGCTGAGCTGGGTATGACCGTGCCTGTGGGTGCCTGTGTCTTCTCTAAAGCTCTCCTGCTTAAGGCCCAGTATGTGACTCTCTCCCCTTTTGCAGAAACGGCCGTCGTTCAAGCAGATCATTGCCATCCTGGAGTCCATGCGCAATGACACGAGCCTTCCTGACCAGTGCAACTCGTTCCTGCACAACAAGGCAGAGTGGAGGTGGGTGGTCCTGGCGCTGCAGCCCGGCCACAGAGCCCTGGCTGACAGTCCTGCTGGCTGCGCGTGGCTTAGGGAAAACAATGTTTTAGACCTTTGGAGAGGAGACCTGGTGAGCCCTCCCTCTCACACGGAAGCAAGAGGGAGAGTCTGCGTTGTCTGACTGCATCCCTCAGTGTTTGGAAAGAATACTGAAATCCTGGCTTCTGAGACAAACGCTGGTGAGCAGCCCGTGCCCGTCCCCGCTCTGGCCTGTGTCCAGTAAAGTAAGAGAGGAAAACTGTGCAGGCCTTGAAATGCGCAGGCGCCAGATCTGCTGCTGGAGAGGGCAAGGGCGCTGTAAAAACACTTGTAAAAGAAAACTTGGGCCCTTATAAATCCTATCAAATGTTGTGAAGTGCAGAACAAACTTCGGAACGAGAGAACCATCTTGTATGAGTGGAAAAAGTAAGCCCAGGCTAGCCCGTCCGAGCCAGCTCACATGATGCACGTATAAATAGCATGTTTGGGAGCTGACACCACTGCTGCCCTGACTCAGCAGAGGTGGGAGTAACCTCGTCTCTGCTCCGAGGCAGTAACGTGAGGCCTTACGCCATCTGCTGATGCCGGCTGAACACTGCATGCAGGTTGAAAACCACCAGGTTGTGGACTCCTGTTGTCCCATGTCTCCTTGGGCTTCCTGTTTGGTATTTTACAGTCACACTATGTATGCTTATTCCTTTGAAAGATCTCCCTAGGGCGAGTGAGTTAAGTGAATTATTACTTAGGGCTACAAAAGTAACACCGTGAAGTCAAGTCTAGTCCTAAGAGACAATTTTTGGGCTGAAATAATTAAAAAAGCAAAACATGGCATAACATTTGTTTCCTGCAGTAAGAGATCAGTGACTGTGTAATCGGATCACTTCCCATCAGAACCCTCGTATGGGTTCCAGTCACTCTTAAGACGAAGGGAAAAATACTTAACAGGACTTTGGAGACTGAATGAGGCCCTCTGGGTTCTGGCCCCAATGGCCTTAGCTTAAGATCATGGTCCTATTCCACGCTCGCCCTCCCTCTGCAGGGGGGCTTTGCAGATACAGTTTCCCCTCTTTAAAGCCCACCCCTGTGTAGCTGCACACCACCCCTGAGGCTCCGGTAGCTGAGATAACACAACAGGCCAAGTCCTGCCTTCCGCACTCTGAGAGCGCGTCTCCTCCTCAGCCCCGCCCTTGCCCTCTGTGGGTAGTTGTTGAACTGTGTCCCCCTGTCGCTTGCACTCACCACTGTCCCTGCAGCTCCTAGAACATGCTGGAAACACAGCTGTCGCTTGGTCAATACGTACTAGGACAGAGGAAGAGAATGCCTTGTTGGTAATGATATGAAAGGATGGTGTTATACAGCAGCACATAACCCTGTAGGGCCATTTGTCTGCCATGACAAGCACCCAGGTTGTATTTGTTTGTTCAGCATCCATTGTGCTTCTGGTGCCGCCCAGGTGCCGGGCTGGAGCCATGAGCACAGGATGCTTGTCACAGCGTGTCCGGTTGCCAAACTGCTAAATGGAAACCCACACATAGCTACTGGACAGGCGTCGCAGCCGAGAAGCGCCGGACGCCTGAGAGCACTGGCCCACACCATCTGATCTGGGCCGAGGCTGCTGTGAAAGCGTTCCCCAAGGAAGTGCCATTCGATCTGTTATCCCAAGGGTCAGTGGGATATTAATACCCTTGCGACAGGGAGTCTTTAAAAGTATGGCAACAGAGCATCAGACAGGAGGAAAGTCGCTTGCTCTCCACGTGAAAATCTTAAAGCCTACATATGACCAAAAACAGTGCCCTCAGAAATCGGGTCCAAGACAGATGACAGCTGCTGTCACAGCTCTCTTCCCCACGTACAACCATTCCCATAGGTTTTGGTCTCAGGACTCCTTTACATTCTTAGAATTACAGTGGACTCCAAAGAACCTTTGTTATCATGACCTGCATCTGCCAGTGTTTACCACATTCACAATGAGAATCGAGAAAAAAATATGTGTTGATTCATTGAAACTACACACAGTGACACAGCACGCTTTTGCATTCAGTCTGCGTCACTTGCGCACGCAGGGAACCTGTGGGAGACCGAACACTTTTAGAGGATGAGAGCGGAACAGGCGACCCCTGTCTAGTGCTATTCTGAAAACAGCGTAACTCCGAGAATCTTCTGGAAGGTCTCGTGGGTCCCCAGAGCAACACTGAAAACCTCTGTCACAGACAAAGAGTTTTTTTATTTAAAATAACATTTTAGAGGTGTGGATTGTGGCTGAGTGGGGTTAGCTACTGCTTGAGACCCATCCCATATTGGAGAGCCTGGTTGGAGTCCTAGCCACTCCATGCTTCCAATTCAGCTTCCTGAAATACGCACCTGGGAGGCAGCAGATGATGGTTCAGGTACTTGGGTCCCTGCCACCCTGTGGGAGACGCAGTTGGAATTCCTGGCTCCTGGCTTGGGCCTGGCCAAACCCTGGTGTTATAGGGATTTGGGAAGTGAACCAATGGATAGAAGATCTCTCTGCCCTCTGCCTTTCAAATAAATAAATCTTTAAAAATGAAAAATAAAGTAGCCTTTTACTAAAACACTAAAGGACATGAAAATGCAGACCTAGCGATGCTCAAGTTGTTGGGTACCTGCCACCGTGCAGAACACCTTGCTGCCAGCTTTGACCATGGCCCAGCAGACATTTGGGGAGTGAGCCAGCAGATGGAAGTTTTGGTTCTCTGCCTCTCAAATTTTTTTAAAAAAAGATAGGCTTATTTTGGTGCAAAGAAATCCATGCATTTTTTTTTCATAATACATGCTAAACTTTCTGAGGACTCTTTGTAAGGAAGGATTTCAACATTTTTGTGCCAAAGCAAACATCTTTTAATTCTCTCACAAATTTATCCCTCATCTATTTTATAGGAATTCTGATTTCTTTTTAAAATTTCATTTTATTATAAAATTTTAATTTTATTAGAAAGAGAGAGACAGATTTTTCATCTGGTTTACTCCCCAAATGCCTGCAACTGTGAGGGCTGGGCCAGGTTGAAGCCAGGATCCCAGAACTCAGTCTGGATCTCCCACTTGGGTGGCAGGGTTCCGAGTACTAGAGCCATCATCTGCCTCCCAGAGTGCATATTAGCAAGAAGGTGGATCATCAGCACACCTGGGGCTCGAACCCAGGCAGTCCAGGATAAGATGTGGGCATCCCACATGGCACCTTAACCACTGTACCAAGTGCCTGCCCCTCGGATGTCTGTATGAGCCAGTGGACCACAGTTTGAGAAGAAGCAGATCTTTTTTTTTTTTTTTTTAAGATTTATTTATTTGTTTGAAAGAGTTACACACAGAGAGAAGGAGAGCCAGAGAGAGAGAGAGAGGGAGAGGGAGGTATTCCATCTGATGGTTCACTCCCCAGATGGCTGCAATGGCCGGAGCTGTGCCGATCCAAAGCCAGGAGCCAGGAACCTCCTCCAGGTCTCCCACGTGAGTGCAGGGGCCCAAGGACTTGGGTCATCTTCTACTGCTTTCCCAGGCCACAGCAGAGAGCTGGATCAGAAGAGGAGCAGCCAGGACTAGAACCGGTGCCCTTATGGGATGCTGGCACTTCAGGCCAGGGCGTTAACCCGCTACACTACAGCGCCAGCCCCAGAAGCAGATCTGTTTTAACTGAACTTGGCTATTGGTTAAAAAACATGGATGATAATATTAATTTTAATAATGATTTTTTAAAAAGCCATGGCTTTCATTTATTGGGGTCTTACCAGACACTTGTACTTCTTTTGGATTTTCTTTTGCTAATCCACATAGCAACCCTAACTTACATCAGGCAGGTTGAGTATCTTGCCCAAGATCGTCCCACAGTATTGAGATGGTACCCAAGTGGCGTATATAAAATTGATGCCAGTGCCAGGCCTGCTGTGGCACACATGCCATGTGTGCTGCGGGGGGACACGTGGTCATTGTCATGCCCTCGCAGAAGCAGGAGGTGTTCGATTGACTAGATACTCTCAGAGCTAAGAGAAACTTCCCGGGGCGTGGCTGCTTCAGGCTATCATTACGGTCAAAACACTGTCTTACTCACGGTGCCGAGTACCAAAAAGAATTCTGTGTTTCTATCAGATCATCTGGCTATTTGCACAGGTGGCACATTCAGACCACCTGCCTTCTCTCCCTGACTGTTGTCTCATGTCTGGAACCATGTAACGAGAGTCCAAGTCAGAGACCCTGTGCAGTCAACTCCAGTCATGCTGTGAAGTTTCTGGGAAATGCTGGTTGCCTGGTAGAGCTTCTGTACATAGCCCAGATGGAGCATCTGGTGGGGTTTTATTGTTGTTGTTATTTATTTATTTATTTATTTGCGAGGCAGGGAGACACACAGAGAGCCCCCACCTGCTAGTTCATTTCTCAGATGGCCACAGCAGCCAAGACTGGGCCTTGCAGGAGCTAGGAATCAAGCCCAGGTCTCCCACAGGGGTGGCAGGGACCCAGTTACCTGAACCATAACTGCTCCTACCAGGTGTGCAGTATCAGGAAGCTCCAGTACAGAGCCAGAGCCGGGAACTGAACCTGGGTGCTGGAATATGAAACCCGTGCAGCTTAACCCCTAGGTTAAATGCCTGCTCCCAGAACGTCTGTGTTAAGAAAGTTAAGTAATTCTTCTGAAAGTTACCTTCAAAACTAGATGATTGAAAACTGTGTAAGCAGCAGGTACTTGGCACAGTGATTGAGGTGCAGCTTGGGACTCCTGCATTCCACATCTGGAGCGCCTGGCTTCCAGTCCTAGCTCTGCTTCCACTTCCAGCTTCCTGCTAATGCAACACCCTGGGACACAGCAGGTAATGGCTCAAGTATTTGGTCCTTCGTACTAACCCGGGGGACCTGGCTTGAGTTCCTGGCTCCTGGCTTCAGCCTGGCCCCGCCCTAGGTGTTGTAGGCCCTTATGGGGAGTGAACCAGTAGATGGAAGACCTCTCTCTCTCCCCCTCTCTGTCTCTGTCTCTCTCTCTCTCTCCAACCCTCTCCCTATGTGTGGGTCTGCCTTTCAAATAAATAAGTTTATAAAATTACACCTTATGTTCTTTTCTGGGAAATGAAGGGAAAGAAATCTCATGCCAGACATTTTCTGGCGCATCAGATTTTCAGCTTGTTTCTCTTCCTGTTGACTTAGTAGCAGTAACAGCAATGAGTATGAAGAACAGAAAGTGTCATTTATTTATTTACTGAAAGTCAGAGTTACAGAGACAGAGGGAGAGAGGGGAAGGGAGAGAAGGGAGAGAGGAGGAGGGAGAGGGAGAAGGGGGGGGGGAGATCTTCCACTCACTGGTTCACTCCCCAGGTGGCTGCAATGGCCAGGGCTGGGCCAGACCAAAGCCAGGAGCCAAGAGCTTCACTGGGGTCTCCCACATGGGCGACAGGGGCCAAAGCATTTGGAAATCTGCTGCTGCTTTTCCCAGGGCATGAGCAGGGATCTGGATCAGAAGTAGGGCAGCCGGGACTCAAAAAACCGGCACCTATATGCTATGCAGGCGTTGCAGGCGTTGCAGGTGGCGGCTTTACCAGCCCTGACAGCGTGTCTTTCTGTTGGCCATATTTTCAGTTTTCGTTAACCCTGTGACTGTGGCCCTGCGGTCTGCAGAGTGAGCCCTGTGTGTTGTGACGGAGCATTCAGAGCTGTGCATCCTGGTTAAACACCTTGTTGGTTGTGTTTTTCCTCAGTGATCAAAGTGCTCTTACCACGACATGCCCTGTAGAAAACAAAAAGCAGGACTAGAAGCAATGGATATTAACACAAATCGTGTACCATATGACACTCACTGTACATATGCTCCTATCATGTAATCTATAAACTGTATCGCTGTATTTATCAACTGACCTTTGTTTCAAAGTAAGTTTCTAATGAAAGAAGATAATTACAGTTCAGTGCCTGTTTTTAGTGTATGGAAAATTGATACTAGTTGAAACTTATGTTGGTTGGTTGAAGAGAAAATTCTAGTGTGCATCCACTAAGACATTTAAGTATATTTTTAGAACAGGGAAGTTATGTAAATTCACCAACTAAAATATTCCATGCAAAACAATGCACCAACAGAAGCAGGGGCACTGTTTACGCATTGTCCCCAGCTCTGATTTCTCTCTCAGGGCAGGTGGCCTCCCGCAGTGCACACCCTTGGAGGCCCTGGGGTGTGGGGGCACAGAGTGGGGAAGCGCAGGCTGAAGAGGCATGGTCTCGCTGTGAGTGTGGGTGCCTGGGCCACTGGCTTCCCTGTCTATTAACTGCTGGTCTGTTTTCCAGAAGGGCTCAAAGTCCCGTAGGGCCCATACTAGTGAAACAGAAGGTGTTGGCCATTTACCCGGATCAGACAGAACATCAGTGAGCTCAGTGCCGCAGGCAGGGGGTCGGCACTGGCTTGGCAGAAGCACCCCCTCGGTGACAGCGCAGGCTGCTGCCACTTCCCCACAGACCACGCCCGACCGGCCCCCAAGTCACCCTCTGAAGATGCTCATGCGTTATTGCAAAAGTACCCTAATGTTGCCTTTTTTTTAAAGATTTATTTATTTATGTGAAAATCAGAGTTACACAGAGAGAGAAGGAGAGACAGAGAGAGAGAGAGACAGAGAGAGAGAGAAGTCCTCCATCAGCTGGCCCACTCCCCAACCAGCCACAATGGCTAGAGCTGCACCGATCTAAAGCCAGGAGCCTCTTCCTGATCTGCCACGTGGGTGCAGGCACCCAAGGACTTGGGCTGTCTTCCACTGTTTTCCCAGGCCATAGCAGAGAGCTGGATCGGAAGTGGTGCAGCCAGTACTCGAACTGGCGCCCATATGGGATGCCAGCACTGCAGGCACTGGCCCCAATCCTACCCACTTTTCAAAGCCCAGTAGAGACTTCACCTCCTTCATGAAGTTTTACTCAGTAATTGAACAGCAGCCCTGCCAAATCGGGAGTGCCAAGGAAGGGCCCTCGAAATTTGTGTTTTATTGGGTTTTTTGGTTTGGAGTTTTCTAAAACAAGCTGCTCAGGTAATTCTTAGAGTCAGGCAAGTTAAGGGAGCCCACACATCATGGAACCATCACTCCCTTTGGCCAAGGAAACTGAGTCAGGTTAAGAAATAGATTGCCAGTGCGTCTCAGCCTCTTACTAATGATGTGCTATTGATCACCAAGTCTGGCTGTCAACTTCCTATCATACGAGATTAATTCCTGTTTCTTGGAGTTGTCGTGGGGCAGAGATGAGATGGCACACAGCAGCTTTGTAGATGTAAAGAACCAGCTGAATGTAGACATCTGTTAAATGGCTAAACCAGGACCCCGGTTCCATGGCTTGTGCCACGCCCTGGTGGCTCATCCATGCTTTGTTGCCGCCTTTGGAGCTTAATTTTCCAAATGACCTGTTGATTTGTAAGGATAGGATAGAGTCCTTGTGCGGTGGTGTCCTGCTGACCGGGAAACACAATTAGTCTTTGGCTTTGATGTGTGTTCCAAGGAACCATAAGGTGTTCCCTGCGTCTTTGTTAAAGTTGAGACCTCATCCTGTTGTCCCTGTGCAGGTGCGAAATTGAGGCCACCCTGGAGAGGCTAAAGAAACTCGAGCGCGACCTCAGCTTTAAGGAGCAGGAACTTAAAGAACGAGAGAGACGTTTGAAGATGTGGGAGCAGAAGCTGACGGAGCAGTCCAACACCCCGGTGAGTGGCCTCCCCTTCTCCCCTTTCGCTTCTAGCCCGTGTGCCCGAGTGTCTGTGTTCACACATGAACCAGCTGCCGGCAAGAGAGGGAAGAGCCTCAGCCCTTGTCTGGCTCGTCTTTAAGAGTGGGTCTCCTTTCAGTCTAGTAGAATCACAAAAATAAAGTTTGGCCAATCCCTAGCGTGTGCCTCCTGGGGGGCCTGCAGCCATCAGTGGACTGCACAGCAGGGCAGCCGATCCCTAGCATGTGCCCTCCTGGGGGGCCGGCAGCCATCAGTGGACTGCACAGCAGGGCGGCTGATTCCTAGCGTGTGCCCTCCTGGGGGGCCCGCAGCCATCAGTGGATGGCACAGTAGGGCAGCTGATCCCTAGCGTGTGCCCTCCTGGGGGGCCAGCAGCCATCAGTGGACTGCACAGCAGGGCAGCTGATCCCTAGTGTGTGCCCTCCTGGGGGGCCGGCAGCCATCAGTGGACTGCACAGCAGGGCGGCTGATCCCTAGCGTGTGCCCTCTTGGGGGACCTGCAGCCATCAGTGGACGGCATAGCAGGGCAGCTGATCCCTAGCGTGTGCCCTCCTGGGGGGCTGGCAGCCATCAGTGGATGGCACAGCAGGGCGGCCCCCCTGCACTTGCACATGCTTGCCTTTTTAACAAGGAGCTGTCCCAATGTGACCCCTCAGTGACAGCTCCAGGGCTCTGACCCACGTGGCTGGCGAGGCCTCTATAAGGACCAGCTCCACTGTGCCTCGCCCTGGGAAGAGGCTTGTTTATCCCCCTAAGCCTGGTATTTGGAGCAAAGTAAAAATTCTTTTTTTAACGATTCCATTATGTACCCCTTTGTAGCCCACCTGCTGATGTATTACAGTCTAACCAAATATCAACGATCTAAAAATAAAGTCCAACAATCCTCTGGACTCTATTTCCAGGAATTAAGTATAAATCTAACATTTATTTTCCTAGGCCTTTTAGTGGGCGTTATTTGCCCGCTTAACAAGTAATGTTAGAATAAAAGTAAGCTTCTTATACATTTTCAATTCATTTTTTGATGGCAATTATACCAAAAACCACTTAAATGTGCTTTATTTTGTGATCTTCAAAAAGTTTCCTATCTTAAAATCCTTAATGGCCGTTAAGTTGCAAATGCCCGAGTGTTAGGTGTCTTCCCACGTCTAAAGCATCAAGTGGGCAGTCTCCTTTCCTGGTGTGGAGAAGCAGTCGGACGTCCACAGAAGGGGAAATACAATGAAGTTAAATATTCATTGCCTAATTTAACTTTTGAAAAATGACTTTGGTTATCCAGGGAATCCCAAAACAACAATTGAGTTGCTGTGCATTAGACCGTCATGGGACATCTAAGAAGCATCCCATTCCATAAGTTCCCTGCATTTAGCCTCGTTGGCCGAGGGCCATTTCCTGTTCTGAGTGCACTGCTTGGGGCAGGAGAGTGGGAAGGCACGGCCCCGGGCACCCACGCAGGAGCACCGCTCTCGCGGGCTGCGGAGGGCCAGGCGCCCTCTGACGTCCGAGAGGCTCTCTTGTTCCGTCTGGGAGACGCACTGCCGTCTGAAGCTCTGCGGCACTGCATGGCTTGACTCTTCCTCGGGGTCCTGTTGTAAGGAAAGCCCTGAAATGCCCGGGAGCGGCCGCTTGGGAACCCCTGGCTTACTGGCTTCAGTTTGGCTGAGAAATGGTGGGCCGCCCCGCTCCCCGCGGCACAGTGCTGTGGTAGATAACACGCTGCGCGCTCACTCGCTCACTCCTGTCCTGGAGCCGCCCGAGGCTGCCGTCCGTCCGACAGTGGGCAGCGCCAGGCGCCGTCTCCTCTCCGCCAGGGCTCCCGCCTTCCCCCGCTTAGGCGGCTAAGGCTGCCTCCTTCCCAGGGCATGCTTTGAATGTCTCCTCCGCTTAGAGCTGGCGTTTCTGAAGGCAGGCAGGATGTGCTCAGGTGTTTTCTAAGGAGGCGTTTTCTTTTATCCTCACATCAGTTTCTAGGTGGCTCTAAATGAGGCTTCTGAGAGAGAGAGAGAGAAAATAAACCTTTCAAAAAGGAAGTGGCTGGAGATTTAGGTTTTCCGTAGGCAGCCTCACCTTAATTAGAAAAGCGTAACGTCTATGTAGCTTCACAGAAAATCGTATCAAGCGCATTTCAGGAGCACTGTTTTCTTTCCTAAAACTGAAACGAGTAGTTAAAAGAAGTTTGGAAATGTGAATTCTCAATGCAGAAAGGTGGATCGTGTTTATTTTTAATTATGGCTGTAGCTTGCTGTAAAAATTTTTCTTTTAAGAATAAAATCTTACTTGAAAGACATTTGTTGAGATCGTCAGAATCCAACAGAATGCAAGGAAAGACTCTTGAAGTAATAAAATAAGCAACAAAGAATTCTAGAGAGAATCTTAACAATTGAGAACAAATTGGAGATCTGGAAAGTTTAATCGCAAAGGAAATAATATGCTGCTTCCCGTGGTTAAGGATCTAAAGCAGTATTTGTCTTCCGTGTGCCCGGTGCTTTTGAGCTGACTCACACGAAGTTATTACTGAACTGACGACTCCAGAGGTCTTTTTCTAATAGAAGGAGACATTTATTTTTCTTAAACTCAGCTGCAACTTGGATTTAAAAATTAGGAAATGGGTGCTGTCAGGCGCCTTCCCACCAGGAGGGGAGGACATCCACGGTGACGCCAGCTGAACAAGGTTCATCTGAAATTCGCCCGATCTAAAATGCAAGGAAGTAGCAGCAATGCTTCCCTGCCCCGTTTCCATGCCAGGGTTATCCCTGAAATGAGTTTCCCCAAACATTCACGGGAACAGGTTTGCCACCCAAAATAGTGACGTAAGGTAGAAAATGTCTGTTACCACGGCGAGAAGGAGAATTCTGAGATACGCTGTTAAAAGAAGGACACCTGAATGTTAGAGAACAGTGAAAACGAACAGCATCAAGTGATAACTCACTCCCTTTCCCTCAGTTTCCGTGTTTGTGTTTAACTTAAATTTTGGAGACAGAATCTACAATTTGTTCACAAATCAGTTATTTAGTAGTGTGAATAAGCAGTGTAACGTCACATCTGCCAGAGACAGTGAGCGGACGCCAGTGCATTCTAGGCTCACCTGCAGTGTGGCGTCGGGTACTAACCTCGCCAGCGCGCCACTGGCAGCCGCGGCCCCTAGGGCATCGCCATTGCTCACCTGGTGTTGTGCTTCCTCTAAGCTTCTCCTTCTCTACAAGGGTTTTTAATTTTTGCGATTTAATCTCTACTTAATTTCTTTTAAGTATATATACATACATATAAATAGTGGTTAGCTAAATGATTCTAAGGTGAAATGGGGGGAAATTAAGAGAAATCCTAAAAAGCTGTTTTGTTTTAAGCAAAACGAAGGCTTAAAACGTGCAGTTTCTTTTCCGTTTGAAATTTGGCTTACCGTGGTGCTCTGCAAACTTTGGTCGTGATTGACCCTGTCGTCGATAAATGCTGGCAAATAGCCGGGAGCCGGGAGCCGGGCCACCGAGTGATTCCCGCATAGTCCCCTGCACTAATCACTCACCCCCTGTGCACAGCCAACTAATTTTGTGGTATCTGCTCCCCTGATTTGAATTGGTCCTAATTTCTCTTTTTCCTTCTGTCCTTTCTTCCCTTTTGATAGCTTCTCTTGCCTCTTGCTGCTGCAAGAATGTCTGAGGAGTCTTACTTTGAGTCTAAAACAGAGGAGTCAAACAGTGCAGAGATGTCCTGTCAGATCACGGCCGCGAGTAACGGGGAGGGCCACGGCGTGAGCCCCAGCCTGCAGGCCATGATGCTCATGGGCTTTGGGGATATCTTCTCCATGAACAGAGCAGGAGCCGTGCTGCACTCGGGGATGCAGATAAACATGCAGGCCAAGCAGAACTCCTCCAAAACCACATCCAAGAGGAGGGGGAAGAAGGTCCACATGGCCCTGGGGTTCAGTGATTTTGACCTGTCAGAAGGTGACGATGACGGTGATGACGGTGAGGAGGATGGCCTGGACAACAATAGCGAATGAAAGCAGAAAGCCAAGTGAGAAAATCGAGACTGTCCAGAGACACGAGCGAAAGAGCAAGAAACTCGCTATCTCAGTCTGTGCAGACCCCAGTGGAGGAGGCAGAAAACCCAGCACGCATGTCTAGGCCAACACACTTAAATGACAGTCGTTTCTTTATCAGTTTCACTTTTGATTTCTTGGCTTACAGAAAAAACGGGGCCGGGGGTGGGGTGGGGGGAATTAAACCAGAGCGGTATTTATGAATCAGCAAGTCGGTGCCTGATTATAGAAACCTGTGGTCCTCTACACTGCTGTTTTTAAACTGGTGACACTCTGCCTTTGTCCTTTCCAAGGAGAAGGTCAGTGTTTGTCATTGACTTGGTTTCCTCCATCCGGTTGGTTGGGAAAGCTAACATTTGGGGCAAGCGCTCTTCACCCCTCACTGTCCCTGACACCGGATCCTTCCCTAGCGTGTCTGTCTTTTCTTACGGCAACGCTCCCTAAGGCGTCAGCAATGGCTGCGTGGCTTTCAGATCCAGCCACTAGGAAACAGAGCTGAGAGAAGGGCAGAGCAAAATGTCATCCCAGGAACAGCTAAACGGCAAGAGTTTCCTGTAGCCCCCAGCACAGCCTCACGTGTTCTCAGTAGCCCACATGCAGAAGTGCTCTGATTTGAAACCAACCAGCAGATGCCGCAGGCTTTGCCAGCTGTCCCAGCCATGGCATCGGGGACTCGGCCTGTCCGTGACAGGGACAGGGACCCCAGCAGGCCTGTGAGTGCTGCGTCCACGCCTGCCCTGCTGTCTCAGCCGGGGCTGGGTGTGGCTGGTTGTCTTTTCCACAGGCACGTAACCATACTGGATTCTAAATGTACATGCAGGTATTTAAATAGGAAAATAAGCGTTATAAAAGGAAGAGCGAAGGCAAGGTGTCCTTCCTTGGGCAGAACTGCTGGCTGAAGGGTTCTCTCTTTGCCAAGGCTGGCCTGCCCAGAGCCCTGCTCAGAGTAGGGAGGCCCTGAGAGAAACCAGTCCCAGGGCCGCTCTGTAAACCTCGCTGCCCCTTGGTGCACAGGACGTTAGCACGTGGTCCTCATCAGCACCTGCTTAAGCGATCAAACACTGTTTAAATCAAATCACAGGGGCCGTTGCTGTGGCTCACTTGGTTAATCCTATGCCCTGCAGCACCAGCATCCCATATGGGCACCGGGTTCTAGTCCCAGTTACTCCTCTTCCAGTCCAGCTCTCTGCTGTGGCCCAGGAAGGCAGTGGAGGATGGCCTAGGTGCTTGGGCCCTGTACCTGCATGGGAGACCAGGAGGAAGCACCTGGCTCCTGGCTTTGGATCGGCATAGCTCCGGCCGTAGCAGCCATTTGGGGGGTGAACCAGAGGAAAAAGGAAGACCTTTCTGTCTCTCTCTCTCACTAACTCTGTCAAATAAATAAATAAGTAAATAAAAATTAAATCACAAACACCTGTAAGTTAACAAAGACAAAAGAACAAAGACTTTTCCAATCTAAATTCATTCATGTGTTAAACTAAAATGCTTCTGGTGGTTCTTTGTTTTTTTATAAAGATTGATTTTATGTATTTGAAAAGTGGTGTTAGAGAGAGAGAGATCTTCCATCTGCTGGTTCACTCCCCAAATAGCCACAATGGCTAGGGCTGGGGCAGTCTGAAGCCAGGAACCAGGAGCTTCTTCCTGATCTCCTACGTGGGTGCAGGGGCCCAAGCACTTAGGCCACCTTCCACTGCTTTCCCAGACACATTATCAGGGAGCTGGATTGGAAGTGGAGCAGCCAGGACTTGAACCAGTGCCCATATGTTGGTGGTTCTTTCTATGGAAGTTTTAAGACAGGATACCATCACAGATGTTACCTGACGCTGTCTCTAAGTATATTTGATCTTAAAAATGTGCAGAGTTGCTGACTCTCACCCCATTGAGAACTGAGAATTACAGCTGAGTGACCAGCGTGCTGCGCGAGCTTATCTGGAGAGAGGTAAACGGGTAGCATGCCTTGGCTGTGAGCTGTAGAGCAGTCTTCACAGCCTTGTGACACAGACAGGACCCAGAGTCTGATCATGGCTCCAAGCCCTGGGTCCGGGTGTTTCACAGCCCTGGGCTAATTGTCGAGTCCACGTTATGCTCATCTTGAACATGTGACAAATGAAAACCTACTTCTAAAGACTGTTGCGAGTATTACAGGCAGGGGCATGTATGAGGCACTTCATACAGTACCAGGCCCATGGTAAGTGACCAGTAGACACTAACTTAACGTCATTAACTGTGCCAGTGAAAAGACTCTGAAAAATAAGCAGTGTCAGTAATCTCAATATCAGTTTCAAGTGATACTTGCTTAATAGCATGAAATGAAATTTTAAATGGCTAGCTTTAAGGACAGATAAAGAGAACATTCTTAGAACGTGAGCTGTACAAACACATTTGTTCTGTTGCTCTTGCAAAGCCAAGAGCCCTGGCCAGACTCACCTGGTCGGAGGCGTCTGCAGGCCAGTGCAGGTGCACCTTTCTGCTGGAAGCTGGGCTCCGCACACCCCCGCTCTGCCATGCTTTCCCTGTCTCTGCACAGCAGATGCAGGCCCACGCCCCGCAGGCAGGCAGCCTGGCCGTGCACAGACACGGAGGAACGCTCCCTGACTCTAGCAGAAAATCTTGGAGTGGAGCAGAGGCAGGACTTGCCACTGTTGGCTGCCCAGCCTGCCCTGGGGCAGGAGGGCCCAGCAGCCGGAAGGAGACAGCCAAAGGCCTGGGGTGTACACGCCTCTTGCACTTCTTCCTGGCAGAGGTAAAGTCATTTGTTCAGCGGATACAGACTGAGCCCCTTCTCTGTGCCAGGTACTGCTCTAGGGACTGGCGCAATGAAAGTCTTGGCGCTCATGGACCTCATGTGCTAGTGAATGGTGAGCCGCAGTCAACAAATGTCTCATTCAACATGCTAGGGAGAGTTAAAAATGGGGAAAAGAAACAACACAGCAAGGGGGTCAGGCCCGTGTGATCAGGAAAGGCCTCACGGACGGGGAAGCGGAGAGCTGCGATGGTGAGTGGTGTCCACGAGCTACGGGATCTGTGCACTTGATGTGAAAACGTAAACCTTGCCACTTGTGTCAGAGTAGTCAGCAACACATTCGCAACATAGAAGCCTGATGAAACTGGGCAAGGCATTTTTTTTAACTCTACATAGAAATCCATCTGCTCAAAAACAGTTTTGGTACATTAGTAAAACATCCAAATAGGCCAACAGGACCAAAAGAGAAAAGCAACAGAACTCTGCCTACAGCCAGATTGACCGGTAGTTTAGGCAGGGTTTCCCTCGCCTTGTAACTGCTGCCGTCTTCCGGAGGGGCCGTAGCTCAGGACTCAACCTTGCAGCAGCTGTGAGCTCAGATACAGCAGAATGGGCCTCAGGGAGGAGCTTAGAACCGAGCTGTGGGTCCTGACTATGTAACATAGGCTATTCTACCTTGTAGTGGTCTGAAAATGTTAAAAAGGCCCTGACATCTGAGTCATCCAAACAAAACTTTATACTGCTCTCTGTGTATAAAGATTACTTAGAAGACTTTAGACTGTTTTCCTAGTTTTTAAAAAAACAATTGGCCGTATGCAGAATTCTAAAAATGATGCTGTTTGTACAGCTTCCGATTCACTTCTTATCTGTTTGAAATGGCAAACTTCCATTGTTGGGTTTAGTTCCCATTCCCCGACTTACACAAAACTGTACCTGTAGTAAGAGAAGAGTTAAAGAGAAATGGCAGAAATTGAGAGATTGCAGAATAAGAATTGAAACCTTAAATTGTGGTCATGCCTGGGGGCGTCGTACACCTGCCATCCCTCTTCACTTGCAAGGTTGCCCCTGTGCAGGGTTTGATAAAAACCAGTTCTCAGCCGGGTAGTTCTGTTACCAGGGTTTGGGAGGGCTGGGGCACATTTTTTGGTTGTCACCAAGACTGGGGCAGCATTTAGTGCCAAAAATTGACAACTTCCTGCGTGCCATGGACAGTCCCAACCCCGTCCACCACACCCGCAGCACCGTCCCTTCTCCGTGGGGAAAGAGTTCCACAACATGGCTCAAGTCAGAAGCTGGGTTTTCTTTAGAACTGCCACAATACCCATTGTGAATTTTGTGCCGCTGTGGCTTTGTCTTATATCACCACTTACAGAAGTGGTTTCTTTCCCCCTGAAAAACGCTGGAGGAAGTGTCATGAAACAGGGGAGACTCCTGCTAACTTCACAACAAATACAAAATAAGAAAACTCACTGAGGTCACTACAGTTCTGCAAAGTAGCAAGAGGACCTTCAAAGGCTCCTCTTTCCCAACAGTCATGTTTTTAAAGCAGAATCACAGTTTACCAGTGGGGAGAGCTTGTTCCTGAGGGCTGTTGGTGGCAGTTTGCAGCTGAGGTATTCACACTTGATGAGAGCTTCGGAGGTGAGGAAGGGGGTGGGGGAGATCCAGGAAGACCCCTCATCACCGGCCTCTGCCCGTCCCTTTGTGTCTCAGACTTGTCACTGGAGTGGTAAGCGCTTTGTCAAAGAGAACTTGGGAACTTGGGTTCTGAGTTAACTATTCGTGCTCTCTTTGGATTTTTGTTCGACTAGGCTTTCCAAACTAGCAGTCTCACCATACCAAATACATGACAGAGCGTACTTTCTATAATCAGGCACCTTTTGCTGCTTGGGAGTAAGACTATTTTCCTTTTCGACTTTAAGCACCGCCAGGGAGAGGCATCTGCTGTATCTTTTTGATTGTAGCATAGTCGGCTAGCTGTCGATGCAGCATCTCTGCGACGGGAAGTGAGTCCCGGGCTCTCTGGGCCTCCAGCCCGGCTGCCGCACACTCCCAGCCTCCTTTGCACTCTGTTGCCCAAGAGGAGCTTTCTGGCGTGTGGTTATTTACTCCAAAACCAGAGTTTCAAGCGCCTACATGAGTTATTTTATATTGTGTGCAGAATAGTTTTATCTTTTATTGTCAGATAGGATACACTGCACAAACCGCTTTTGCACTCTTAAAAATTTTGTATTAAATAATAGGAAATATTTATATCTTTTGAGTGTGAGCTTTGACTAGATGGCATTATCACTTTATTTTCTGTGTGCGCGCGTGCGTGTGTTTTAACAAAAGCTTGTTCTCAGTTACTCGATTGCAATGTTATTCTGAGCAAGTCCTAGGCCACATATCCTGTATCGTGTTTGTATGGAAGATTTAAGCTTTACTCTTAGGCGCTAAGACCGTTGAGTTACTGACTTCATGGCTGGAAGTTGCTAATTCCAGCACCAAGGCCACAATGTATTCAGAGATCCAAGTCGGTGTCATACATTTCGTTTTGATGTGAACTTCGCTTTGCTCTCCTTTGTTCTAAGACTCCATTTTGCAATAAACGTTTTGACAGTAAATCCCTTTGTTATGTGTTGCTGTGTACATAAGACATCATTTAGGTCGGAATCGGCGTCATCCGGGCACACGCACAAGTGTTCACTTTTCCCCCCTGAAGTCAGTTGGAGTGTAAATAATGAATTTGTAAAGTGGTGGGGCAGTCATGAGGGATTTTTTTTTAATCCCCAAAGAAAGAAAGAAAGGCTTAGAACTGATCCCAGGGCCTAGCACTGATATGTTAACAAGGTGCAGAAAACAAAGGCAACTGCTAGCCTCCGTGTGGCTGGAGACCATTAACTCCCGTCCCTGGTTTGCCAAATGCAAACCGCCTGGAAGCCGCGCCAAGCTCCAGCCTTCCGCTCACTGATCTCTGCGAGCCTGTGCAAAGGACCCTGCTGGAGTGAGTGCCAGGCTGACTCCAGGCCGGCCGGCCTCCTGCTGATGAGCCATCCTCAGATGAGGGAGAGAACTGCTCTCCTGTGCACATTCAAACCAGAGATGTTGCTTCATTTGCAACCTCTGTTCTCATCAAAAATACTTAATTCCCAATTTGGTTTAGCACAACATTTGGGAATTATATAAAAGTCAAAATGCTGCACATCCCCCTTGCTTCCTGTAAAAGGCGGCCTTGATGCTGGGAAATGTTTGTGTAACTCAGCCTCTTGTTTCTTGAACTAATCAACAAGTCCCTTCTTACTCGCTTCTGCTGTTGGGAAGAAGGGAGTGACATGATCCTGCAGCTGCATCCAGCTGCCCGGGGAAGAAATAAAGCTTGTCATGCACTTCATTTGATCCAGTTCAGCTCTAGATTCTGTTCCTCAAGTCTCTCTTCTTTCCACTTAAATGAAGCAGGTGAGCGCTCTTGGCAACACCTACATGCCTCAGGGGAGCCAGGGGGCTGTGCCGTTTGGGGAATCCAAGTGCAGGGGGCAGCAGAGCATATGTGGCATCATGACAATTCCATGCACACTGCATGTCCTTGGAACTTGTCTGTGGTGCTTAGACTGTATGGTCCTGTTTATTGTAACCAGTGGGCTTTTTTTTTTTTTTAATTTATGTAGACAGCAGAGCAACAGAGAGAGGTAGAGATAGAGAGATCCTCCATCCACTGGTTCAAGCCTCAAACGTCCTCAACAGCCAGGGCTGGGCCAGGCCAAAGCCAGAAGCCAGGAGCTCCATGCAGGTGTCCCCCATGGGTAGCAGGGCTCCAGGCGCTTGAGCCATCTTCCACCGCCATCTTCCCAGGTAAATTAGATGGGAGCGAGCTGCATCCGAAGCAGAGCAGCCAGGACACAAACCAGCACTTTGGAAATGGGAAGTGACTTAACCCACTACACCACCACATCGGCCCCCAGCCAGGGGGTCTTTTACGAAACGTTCTGCTTGACCACCCAGAGTCCACCTCCTGTCCCCTTCTCTCCAGAATGAACTCACTGCCTGTGTGGCCCAGTTAGGGGAATATGCCACCCCTACCCTGCCCTGCCCCAGCTCCTACCACTGCCAGTGTTTTGCCTGGTTGCATCTCCATCTGGAATCCTCTGTCTTCTCCTTGCCCCGCGGTGCCCTGCTCAAGCCCCTGTGCCTTTCATTCCTCTGTCTTCTGCTGGGAAACCCTTGGTGAAGACCCCAGTCTTCAGTCTACTCACAGGCACTGACCTCTGCCAGGGAGCTGAGGATTTTAGTAAGAGCACCCTTCAGTTTTATCCATTCTGCAAAGCTGGTCAACAAAAACTGACCAGCTCTTGTCTGCAGGGTACTGAGTCAACTGAGAGGGTGGCCTTGGGCCCCCCCGTGTATGATCCGTACCCGCTCCACCCTCTAGTTAAGTTAAAAAGCTCCAAGAAGACAGGCACTGTGGCTTGGCTAGCAGAGTTTGGAGCATGTACTTAGAAAATGAATACAGATTAGAGAGATTCACCCACCATCCTCTGGTTCTTAACACAAATCATAAAAGCAGCCAAATACAGATTCTTTTTCCATCTCACTCATAAGAAAATAGGATTTGTAAGAGGCTGAATGGCACTTTGCCGTGCTCTCTCATGAGCCATCCAAACATTTTGACAAGTTCAGCTAGTTAAAGGCTAATGACTCCATCAAATCAAATTCTAATTCAACCCGGAGGCCACACCAACTTTTTCAACTTAAGTAAGCATTTATTAGTTAGATGACGGCCGAGGGGCTCTTTGTTTCTGAGAATGGTGTGGGCAGACGTGCCCTGTGAAAGGCTTCATCCACACTGTGCACCTGACACGAGGGACTTCGTCTGTTTCAGTGAGCGCGAGTCTGCAGTCTGAGTGCCCTGGAACAGTGCCCGTTGCACGCATCCTTCCTCCATGGGCCTTGGAAAGATAATGCAAGTGAGACATTTAAACACTCACACTCACCCGTGAGAACGGTCGTGGTGGGGCATCTGGTTCCCGAGTGGCAGCTTGAGAGTTGTCAGTAATAACCAGACGACCCTCACCCTGAGAATTCCCAGGAAAGCTCTGCTCTCTGGTGGATGTCAACAATTTCCTGACCACCAAGGCCCTGCTGTGGGATGTAAAACCAAGGAATATGCCAGATTCTATGAAGTCCCTCCTGAAACAGCTCACGAAGTACCATGGACTGTTTCAGAGAGATTGGTGGCGTTCCCAGTTGCTAGGGTCAGAGATCCTTTAAGCACTCAGCATTTCCTCTTAAGTTCAGGAAAATTGTTTTCCTGTCCACCTGCCCTGCAGGAGGAATAAGGCCAGAGCAGCAGCTGGGAGCTAAGAGTGACACAAGAGGATAAACCCCCCAAAATGATAATGTTACCTTTTTTTTTTTTTCATTTCATTCGTATTTCCCACGCAGCTGCTGCCTTCCTTTGAGATTGGCGCGTGGACCGAAGACGACGTGGTAAGCTTGTATTGATGCCTCGTGTGAGCTGGGCAGGTGTTTCTTCTATTAGTCCACGTACTTTAAAATGCAGCTAGAGGGGTTTGCTCCTTAGGAAGGTCTAACTGAAGTTGACAGATTCCGATTTTTAAAGTTTTGAATGCAATAATGATTGAAAACAAAGCCTCAAGAGGAAAGCAAGTAGCTCTTCCAGGCTTATAAGAGGGTCTCGCCCATTCGCTCTGGAAGTATTCCAGAGTACAATAAACACCACTGGCAAAGTAAACAGTGACCCAGGGTGCCCAGTAAACGTACTTGAAAAAGTACTGAACTTAATGGTCCTAACGTGCCAAGTGTGGGCTTGAACCACGGTGGAGAACCGTGGGGATCTTGGCAGAGCTGTGCCGGGCATCCCTGAACTAGGCCTCCTTCTGCCTGGACCTGCCACCCTCCCTCTGCCAGTCTCTGCAGCCTGTTTAGTCCAAAGGAAGTCCCGCCCTCTGCCCGATGGGCAGCAAACCCAAGGAATGCTCCCCCTTCCCCGCTTTGCCGTACCTGTTTCCTTAGTGACCAGCCAGGTCTGAGAATTCCTGATCAGAGACCTCAGGGACTTAGGCCTGTCCAAGTCCATTTTACAATGCAAGGGTTGGCACTAAGCGAAGAAAAGGCAAACGATGCGGCGCCAGTCTTAGCGGATATGGGCCCCACCCCAGGGAACAGGCCAGGTACCACAGGTACTGACTCCCTTCCAGAAACTCCCAAAGGCCTGTCTGCACAGCCCATCCTGACTTGTAGGCCGGGGCATGTCCCTCTCTGCCCTCTGAGTTCTTGTGAAATGAAACACCCTCAGCGTCAGCTGACGTCTTTGGCTTCTGCAAAGGAGGAAACATGGTGCCAGTTGCCTCTGTGCCTTCCCGTTCACTGAGCCCGCGGCCGAGCTCCCCTGCCAGCCCTGCTTCACGTGGAGAGAGGATCTGGGCTCTCCTCTACCACGGGCCTGGATGTCATCTCTTTATCCCCAGCGGCCAAGTTGGCCCATCTCACTCGAGAAGACATTTTTACAAAAGCACTGGGTTCTAACGGTTATTTTTAGGCTTGGTTCTGAGGTTGGGTGGCTTCCAGGCCATTTAAATAAAATTCCAGTGGGGAGGACCTCCCCCTCCCCTATACCCCGAGAATCAGAGGGACCGGGTCAGGCTTCTTGTCTGTGTGCCTTCACCCTGGTAGTGGGAGAGACCACCGGTGCTCAGGTGAGATCCTAGGGGCAGGGATCCCGAGCCCAGCCTCCTGCCACACCCAGTCCACTGCAGGGCCACATGGCTCCCTCATGCCACGGGCTCATTCTGTCCATGTCTCTGTGCTCTGCTGTGTGTCCCCTCTCAAAGGGGACGACTGGCACATCGGTGGAAACACCCCATCCCAAGAACCCTCAGGAAAGGGTTTTAAAATGCACTCCCCTCAAAAGCAAGAGGAAAGCCCCAGGCCCTTCATCCGTCCACCGGCCCCTAGGGAGGGAGGGCTCTAGTTTGAAAGCGTGAGACGCTAAATCTACAGAGAAAAACTGCTCCGTGTTAGCTTCGTGGGCTGAGCCGGGAATTAAGGCTATCGTGACCCATTGCGGATTGTGTGTTGTACTGTGTTATGACTGGCCACTGACTGTGCGTGAATCTTCAAGAGCAAATCTGTCCTCTCTTCCACAGTATTTTTGGGTTCAGCAGCTCGTCACAAAAGGCAAGTGGCATGACTCCCCTTCTTAACGCACGGCGGCAGCTTTGCGCTGGCTGTGGCGGCGGCTGACTCTGTCTTGCCTCCCGCCTGCTCCCTCCAGGCGACTCCTGTGTAGAGATGAGTGTGTACGCCAGCTTGTTCAAGGAGAACAACATCACGGGGAAGCGGCTGCTCCTTCTGGAGGAAGAAGACTTGAAAGACATGGGCATTGTCTCCAAGGGGCATATCATCCATCTGAAGGTACCTTGGAGCGGGAGGCGCCATCGGCCTGTCTTGGTGGAGCACCTGCCATGTGGCCCATCAATGGTTCTGGGCTGTGCTGCTTGCTGTCCTCATGGGACCCTGACTCCCCCCCCCCCCAAATGCAGCGCCAAGGTCACTCCCTGGCACAGCAGAACCCACCTGGATATACCCAGACGTCACCCCTGTGCAA